GCGCGCAGGCTCATGCAGCAGACCGCATGTAGGGCATACCGGTATCACGTAAGTTGCCGTACCGTACTTAGCAGTAGCGGTAGCGTTTGATGGGCCACATACAGCAGTGTACCGCGCCGTGCATGCAACACAGCTGTCCAGCCCATTCCATCTCATACACACCGCACCACCCCGCCACGCACCTACCTGCCCCCCGTCTTATACTCCTCATGCAGGGGCGGCATCCGTGTCTCTTGCTGCATGGCCTTCCACGCGAGCGGGTCCTTGCGTTGCAGGCCCTGAAGCCGCGCTGCAACTTGGGGGTCCTGTGCGGCGTTCTCTATCAGCGTGTTGAACATGGAAAGGCCCTCTAGCGGCATATAAGGACCCTTCATCTTTTCTGCCTCGCGCTCGGTTAGTCCGGAGGGGTTGGCAGGCTGCTTTCCATTGGAGGGGTCCCCGACCCCCTATTGCCCCCCCGGTTGCCGAACCCCTTAAAGATCTTTCCACGGGGGCGATTGGGGCCAAGTGCCGAGCTTGGAGGGCAGAGTGGCAATCGCAGTTGCCGATGGGGTTCGGCGCTTCTGGCCACAACGCTTCGACATGACCTTGGTCGATCGCTAGTTGAGGCTAGGCTAGTTGAGGCAATCGGAGCACGGTGCATGGCGTGTGATTTATCGCGTAGCCTATCTCAATTGGGATTTGGATTGGCGTTGGTGGCGGAAATGAACGCCCGGGGCTCATGCACAGCTTTGCGGGCCAAAAGCTTCAACGGCACGACGGCTGTGGTAACAGACTACTACAGGAGTTGCTCTTACAGTGACTAAACTATAACAAACAGTCAGCAGACGAGTCGGAGTGCAAGTCGCTATAAGGCAGGCCTAAATGAAGGAAGCTCCGAAGCCATCGGCCGAACCCGTGAATTTCACGGAAAAGCACTGCATTCGCCATCCTCAGTTATTCCACGTGCTTTCTATACAGCTTTAAGACAGTTTTAATGGTTGACATCATATTAAAAGCATCGCTGTCACGTTGATGTTTGTCTTACCCAAATCTCGCCGGTACGGTATGTTGTGCACAATTGGCATAAAGTACTACATTATATAGCCTGGGTAGTAACGACTGGTAGGTTCATATCAACTTGTTCAGCACGCTACACGTTAATCACGGTCTCATGTCTAGCCGGCTCGGCTAGGCGTGCGCTGGATAGGTCGGGCTTATACAGTACAACTATCTACGCGACATAGGAGTCACACTGTCCTTCTTGTACAGTGAAACGATCCTCAACTGTGCCAGGCTGTGAAGTAACTTATTTGCCACTGGACAGCGTGTGGGTATGGGTATGGGCCGGCAGGACGTTACGAGAGGCGTAAAGGGCACCGATAACTGACAAGGAATTTAACGCAATGGCTTCTGCATACAGTGTTGTTTTGGCTGGTGGCAGAAGACTACGGAATGGAACCAAACTTCCGCTCAGCCCTGGGGGTTTTAGGCAGTATCTTATGTTCCCTTGCTGCCAGCCTAAGCAACATTGTATTTCAGGAAGATTCCAAACCCGGTTTGTAAGACGGACCAAGGGGTTACTTTAGCAACACTTACCTACTCCTCAAAGGCGATACCAAGGCATGGCTACCATTTGGAAACGGTCCTGGATGTGGACCGCGAATTAGCGAAACTACATAAATTCACGGCAGAAGAGCTTGCTGAGCTTCAACGGGGCGAGCGCGAGCTAGACGAGCTCGAAGACGCGCTACAGGCCGAGATCGGCGCAGCGGGCCCAGCGGGCTCAGCCAAGGCCGCAAAAGAGGCACACACAGCAAGGATACAAGCGATTCGCAACAAGTACAAAAACAAGAGGAGGATTTTCCGCCGCCACAACCTCTCCTTCATGGACCTGCATTTCAGGGACCTCGCCAGGGATAGCCTGATCACAGCTGCTATCTGGTGCCCCGGATTAGCCACGGCCTTCCACTAAAACCAACACAGGTGAGCAGCTAGGGAGGCGCCCTGGAGCCATGCCAGCGACTTACGGTGCGAAGGTTGTCCGGGGATGGCACACCCCGATGGATGCCTGCAGCTGTCTATTGGCGGGAGCTTACCCGGGTGGCTGATGGTACCATTGCACCACATGTATGCTGGCCGCAGGCAATCACCACCGGGTCCACCACACCCTTGCCAAGGAAGCAGCGGAGCTCCCAACGGCGCTGGCAGGGAGCGCAGCAGTGGCCGATGGCTCTGCTTCAACCTACGAGTCTGGGCGGGAGCTGTACTGCCGCATCTGCCAGGAGGTGGCTGGCATTTCGGAGGAGGTCGCGCTGCCATGTCAGCAGGGTGCGGACCTAAACCGGTACCTGCTCAGCATGTTCATTGCGTACGCAGTGGGCCGCTTTACATCCTCCACGCTGACCGACACCGTCACCGCACTGGTTGACTGGCAGCGGTGTAAGGGCGTCCCGGAGGGAGCCTACGTCAACCGCGACCCCGTGATACAGCGTGCCTTGGGCCAGCCACTGAGACGGGTAGCGCAGGAAGAGGGTGTAATAGCACCACCAGAGGCCAAGGAACCCCTGCCCATTAGCCTTCTGAGCCTGCTGGTTGCTTGGCTGCGGAGTCTGTCGAATGCCAACCCTAGTCGAGCGGTGGAGTTCAGCCAGGACGCATGTTGGCTGGTGCTGGGCTTTTTCGGGATGCTGCGGTGTAGCGAGCTAGCGGCGTTGACGGTTGGAAGCGCTTGCAGGAGGAGGGATTAATATGGAAACAGAATCCGCATTAGGCTGGATAGTTGGGTTAGCGTATAAGTATAATTGGAGTTGGAGGAGGGATGGGGCTGCGGGCGGCACGCAGCAAGACGGACCAGAAGGGGAGCGGGGCTCCGCTAGTCTGCTTGGCGGCAGTCACCAGCAGCGGCATTCCCATTACACGCATCGTACAGCGTCACATGGAAGCCGTCTCCGGCCAGAGACCCAGCGCACCTCTATTCGAGAGAAGCGTCGCATGGCCGTCTCGAGGGGAAGGAGCCTGGCAGTCCGGTGATTTCACGGACAGGTTGCAAGAGCTGCTAGGGAGGCTTCATCGGGAGCAGCAGGGGCTGGGGATAGACGTATCCAAGTTACCGGCTTACAGTTTGCGCCGGGGGGCGCAACAGCGGCGGCCAACACGGGTGTGCCGATTGCGGACATCAGGGACCACGGGCGCTGGAGGTCATCAGAGGCGGCGCAGGCGTGCATCCAGAAGTCAGTCGCGGTGCGGCAGACGGTAGTGGAACGCATGTGACTTAGATTGGACTGCGTAACGGGGGTGCTCTCATTGAGCCTTTGGTGAGGAGGACGGCCAATACGTGCGTGTTTTAGCCCGTGGTCGCAGTAGAGTAGCGCATGCGCCTTGGTAAGGCGCGTATTGGGGAGTTGTGCTTAGCTGTCTTACCCCTTTCCTCGTGGCAAAGTCTCCCGGTTTGGCGTTACACGTGTCTTGAACTATTGCGGCATTGTCGTTGGGTGGGTGATGGTTGCACGCGTATAATGATATGGGAACAGTGGGTTATCACGCTGGCTGTGCAGTGCTCTCATAAAACCACTTTCCTAGGCCGGCTTCCAAATTATGTGTCATGCCTGTTCGAAAGCTGCATAGATGTTTGCACGGACCGTAGCTTTGCATACGATTGTGCTCTGTGCTCTCCGGGTATCCTGAGGTCCTATGTTGGGGAGGTTATTCATTTTTGGGTGGGGTCAAAAGACCGCCAGAAATTGCGGAAGGCCCCGAAGGACACGACCGCGGGGTTGGAAGTTAGTTTTCAACCAGCAATAGTCGCGACTCGGTTAGACCTCACAATCTGCGACATTGCCCCAAGCGCAAAGATAGTTGTTCTAGGTAAGAGTGGAGGCCTAGGTGCAATCCCAACGAAGGTGCGCTGTCATGACGGCGATGGTGGGTCAAGGGTGAAGCCTGATTTAACGCTGGAAGCCTGATGTGGTTTTATTTTACACTACAAGTAATCGTGTTCGTTGCTTCCTGCGCTTCAAGATGGAAGCGACAACAATGCTTCCACCTGAAAAATTCTTTGGCGGTGCATGATCTAAGGGCATGGCTGCATATATCACAAGGTGCCTTCAGCCCCCTACCGTACCAGACTAGGGGGGACCGCATCCGTGGGACTAGGTGCTGTGCACGTGTGCGTACGTGTGTGTCATTGCATAAGGGTAGCAGCGTACGACAGTTGCGGCTTCACTAACAGCGTACGGCAGTTGTAGCTTCCTTGGGTTGTTCGGTGCCGCGTGCTCGGGTTAGGCGCAAAAGGTCACGAATGCAAGAAGCGCCGATCAGAGCTTACATGACACCCATGCGCCTGGGAAGCTGAGTTGTTGTGGACTCCCCTGTACTACCCGCATTCTGTAAAGCCCAATCACGCGCGCAAGTACCCAACATTGCCACCACCAGCGAACTAGCACCGGATCTCTGTCCTTATTCACAGCCATGCAAAGAGGAGACATGCATGGTGCACGCACGCGGAACCAGAGTGTTACCCATGTGTGCCTGACACAGCCCTCCACCCTGCCTTCCTCCCAATGGACGGCCTCTAGCAGCAATCACCGCCGCTGGCACTGATTAGGATATACTTCCGGTGTAACACTACACTACACTACCCAGATCTACGCGTACGCAAGGTGTGTCAGTCCTGCTAGCCTCCTAGCTACATGCTACACTGGATCACTCCCTCAACCAACCCCAAGCAGCCACCTTGCAAGAACTCCAGTCTACTCTACTCTTCATCTCCGCCCTCCTTCCCTCTCTGCATCACCACACTCCCACCTCCCCCTCCTAAGCCCCCAGCGGCCCCACCAGCGCCGCCGCTGCCGCCTGCAGCTCCCTCAACCTGCCCTGCATCGCCTCCACCTCCTGTCCCTGCCCCCCTGCTGCCAGTTCTGCCATGCAGCCCCGAACCTCCCCAAGCACCCGCCGCAACTCCTCCGCCCGCTTGCCTGCCGCACCGCGACCACCCACCGCCTCTCCTCCTCCTCCTCCCGCGCCGTCCACCTCCATGGCATCATTCCCTCCCTTCGCCTGCTGCCCCTCCTCCTCCTCCTCCTCCCGCCCCCCCTGCTGCTTGTTGCTGCGCTGCCTGTCCCAGTCCGCGGACACCTGTGCGGCCCGTGTCACCACCCCGGGGGGCAGCCCAGCCAGCCGGGCCACGTTGGTGCCGTAGCTCTTGGGGCAGGCGCCTTTGGGGAGGGGGAGGGAGGGAAACATAAATGAAAAGTGAAGCAACGGAGGGAGGGAGGGGGGCGAGGAAGGGAGGGTTTCCTGCCTCCCACCATTAGCTCCTAGTCTACCGCCACTTCCAGTACGGCAGACGGCACTTAATGCACGCATAGAACAACCCACAAACGCCGGTGCTGCAGCCTGCTGCTGTTTGCCCCCATGTCACCCCAGGTCTCCCCCACCCCACCCCAGCCACCAGCCCCTTCCTACCATGCGTGAGGCGGTAGAGGAAGGTCACCTCCTCGCCTCCCTCAGCAGCGGCGGCGGCAGCGGCGGCAGGGGGGCTGCTGCCGCCCTCCTCGCCCTCTACCGCACAGCCCATGTGCATGACCGCAACCTGGGAGGGGGGGAGAGAGGCAAGGGAGCGGAGGAGGAGGGAAGGAGAAGGAGGTTAGTGCGAGTGGAGAGAAGCGAGTTTCAAGTTTCCTTCCTCCCATTCAATCACGTGTACGTCTAAATCAAAAGCCCTCCCCAGCCGCACTGACCCGTGGGTCGCTCGCGTGCTCGTCCGACAAGTGGTGGTAGTGTGTGGCGAACAGCCCCCTGCAGCGGGTGTTGGCCGCCAGGTGCTCCAGTACGGCACCCGCCACCGCCGCTCCGTCCATGGTTGCCGTACCGCGACCCAGCTCGTCCAGTACGACAAGGGAACTGACAGGCCGGGAGGGAGGAGGGGGTGGGGGGGGGGGAGGGGGCCGGGAGGGATATGAGTCGGTGGGAACATGTCACCGGTCATGTCTGCGGGGCCAAGGACTGCTATCCTTCGCGTCCATGGTGGGATATACACCGTCATGCATGCCAAGCCTCCGTGCCCCTCTCCTCTCTTCTCCCCATCTCTTCCTACCCCACCTCTCCACTCCAGCGACTTCCTCCCTCCCTCCCTCCCGCCCCCCACTCACTCGCAGGTCGCTCGGGCCAGCATGGCCGCCGTCTCCGCCAGCTCGATGAAGAAGGTGGACTGCCCGGTCAGGATGGAGTCGCGCGCGCCCATGCGCACGAAGATGGCGTCCGCGGGGGAGAGCACCAGCGACTCGGCGGGGACAAAGGCGCCGACCTGGGGGGAGGTGGAGGTGGTGGGGGGTAGGTGAGGGAGGAGGAGAGGAGGTAGGAGAGGAGGAGTGGGGAAAAGGGGATTAGGGAGAGGAGACGGGGTTAGGGAAGAGGACACGAGGGGCATGGGTGAATGGAGGACAGATGGTGGTATTGGTTTCTTCCCAACACGTCACACCCGGTGAGGAAGGAGGAGGGAACAACCGCGGAAGACCCCAATTCCCCACCCTCCACCCAGCCCCCTCCCCTCCTTCCTATCCTCACCTGCGCCAACACAGTCGCCAGGCACACCTGCCGCAGCAGGGTGCTCTTGCCGCCCATGTTGGGACCCGACAGCAGCACCAGGGGGGAGGAGGAAGAGGAGGAGGAGGAGCCGCATGCAGCAGCAGCCCCCTCACCCGCCCCCGCGCCTGCCTCCGCCGGCCAGGGCCCCAGGTGCACGTCATTGGGCACAAATGCCCCGTTGTTGCGGCCGCAGATGCCGGCGGGGTGGCGCAGGGAGGAGGCGTGGAAGAAGGCGCCGCAGCCTTTGGGGGGGAGGGAGAGGGAAAATTATAGATAAGTGCAACAACGCAAGGAAGGGGGGCAAAGGGGGGGGGGAGCGGAGGAGAAGTGGAACGGTTGGTCGGGAGTGGGAGGGATTAGGTAAACTGAGCCAGAGGAAGCGATCGTTAGGGGTGACATGGAGATGGGTGACATACTCCGAGTCACTACGAGTCATCACCCTCCCCCCCTCCCTCCCCTCCGTCCTACCTTCCCCACCCCTCTGCGGCGGCAGCAGCTGCGGCCTGCACATGACCCCCCCGTCCGGCGGCGCCAGTGCGTGTGCCGCCAGCGACATGAGCGCATCCACCTCCGCCACCGCCTCCACCAGCGCCACCCACAGCGGGCGGTGCGACACGAAGCGGACCACCAGGCGCTGGGGGGGGGGAGGGGAGAGGAGGGGAGAAGAGGAGAGGGGAGGGGGATAAGAAAGGAAACTGACAAGGCAAGTAACGAGCTGTGTGACGCGGCTTCACCATGGGGTGCAAACGGAGAGGGGGAGGGGGAGGAGGTGAGTACGTTAGTCGCAACGTCGGCGTTTACAGCCGTGTGGGGAGGGATGACAGCAGGGTGAGGGCATGTCGTCCAAGGGAGCCCCCAAGAGCGTATCGTAAGCCTCGAGTTGCGTGTTTCTAGGATAGTGTCTCCGTAATACGCGCTCACCGCATGAGTCGGGATACGGGATTGGGACTCCTGTTGCTCCACTTTCCTATTGCCCCCCCCCCCCGAACCTGTGGTCTTCTATGGTTTGGTATGGTCTTTGACCCCCCCAACCTCTCCCCCCTCACCGCCAGATTGCTGCCCAGCGCCTCCTCCCTCCGCTCCACCGCCCGATCATGATCCGCAACCAGGGACCGCAGCTTCGAGGTGGTGTACCTGCAGGGGGAGGGGGAGGGGGTGGGAGGGAGGTGCAGGGTTGGTTGGAAGGGGTAGGTTCGAGAAAGAAGGTTTGTTTTGGGAACAGGGTCATGCCTGTTGCGCCACGCCCGGTAGTGAAGGATGCGCAATGAGCCGAGTCGGCGAGTCGCTGCAGCAGCAAAGTGCATTTCCACCGAGTCAACCAACCCTTACGCCATTCCTCCTCCAGTCGCCTCTCCCCTGCCCTCCTCCGCCCCCCTCCCCCTCCCCCTCACCTCTTGTACCCCTTCCTGTTCCCCACCAGGCTGAACTCCGCCCCCAGCCGCCCCGCCAGCCCCTCCGACACCTCCAGCAGGTGCGAGTCCTTGTTGAGGGAGATGAGCGAGATGCTGGGGCCGTAGCGGGAGCGAACCTGAGGAGGTAGGGGGGACAAGGGGGTCAGGAGAGGGATGGGGAAGGCAGGGGGCCGCTGGATGGAGGTAGGGGAAGCAGGTAAGGTGTAGGTAGTTAGCTAACCGTGTGGCGAGGCTGGACCATGGGTTGCATGGGGAGGGGGGGTATAGGACGGGGGTACGGGAAACGTGTCATGAACGGTCGACAGCCCCGATAGCCCCACGAGCGCATCTGCACCGTCCCTGGAGCCAACCCGAAGGGGTAGAGCTGGGCACGTAAGACGCATGGAAGTGCCATGCCGCCCCCCTCCCTCACCCCCTTCCCCCTCCCCCCACCCCCTCCCCCCTCACCTCCTTGAGGTAGTCCTGCAGCCTGCCCTCCGCCGCCTCAACCGCCTCAACAGCCGCGTCGTACACCTCATCCACACCCTGGGGAGGGCGGGGGAAGGGGAGAGGAGTGGGGCAAGGGGCGGGGTGGAGGGGGGTTGAGAGCAAGGCAGTCGGCAATGTGCAGAGTGTTCGACGGCAGCAGCAACCCCTCCTCCCCTGCCGTCCTCCTCATCGCAGCGGCCCCTCTTTCAGTGATGCTCCCCTCCTCCAACCGCCCCCCCCCCCTTGCAAGTAACACATCAACGGTACCACCCTCTCCCCACCCCACCCCCCATCACCACCACCACCACCCCGCTCCCCACCTGTTCCGGCACCGCCCTGCCCGTCTGCGCCGCCTCCTTCCAGTCGGTGGCGGCCTCCAGGGCCTGCAGGGCAGCTCCCACGTCGGAGGGGCGGCAGCCTGGGGGGGCAGGGGGGAGGGGAGAGGGGAGGGGGACAAAGTGAAGCAGAGGGAGGGAGAAACAAGGTGACTGGCGCGCAAAGGATTGCACAGGCATAGCTGGGGAGGACGGTGGCGGGTTGGAGTGGGGTGAAGGGGTAAGGTGGTACAGAAGGGGCGGCCATTCCCTGCCCGGTAACCAACACCCCTCCCTCGCGGTCCCGGTAGCTTGCCCTTTCCTGCCCAGCGGATACCTCTATCCTCTCCCCCTGCTTCCAACCTCCTCCTCCTTTTACCCCCCTCCCCTCCACTCACGTTCCACCACAATCCTCCTCAGCAGCTCGCTCTCCTCCTCTCCCCCTCCCTCCTCCATCGCCGCCCGCACCCTCCCCAGCGCCCCATGCGCCGCCCGCAGGTCCCGCAGCGCCCCCCACAGCGCCGCCACCCGCCGCCGCCCCGCGTCCTCGTACAACACCACGTGTGCCGCGTCCCGCCCGCATGCGCCATCCACGGTGGAGGCGTGCAGCCGGGTCAGGGCGCGCTCCAGGTCGGATACACCTTTGGGGGGAGGGGCGGGGAGGGAGGAAGGGGAGGGTCGGGTAAAGGAGTCATGGAGAGGTAGGGGTAACGGAGGGCGCAGAGTAAGACAGCCTTCGTTACTCCTTCGTCCCCCCTCACCCCAGCCGAGCCCTCCCACAACCCTCCACTCACTCACCCGCCAGCATCTTCCTCGCCTGCCCCGCCGCCTCCCCCAGCCTGCCCCCCATCAGCGCCGCCACCGCCGCCTGCCGCGCCTGGATGTCCGCGATGCGACCCAGGGGTCGGCACAACCACTGCCGCAGCCGCCGCCGGCCAAAGGGGGTCGTGCAGTGGTCCAGAACAGACAGCAGGGTGCCTGGGGGGGAGGGTTGCGGATTGGGAGGGGGCGATGGGTAGCGGAATGAGGGGGTGAGGATCCTGCATGTTGAAGGAGGGGGGCAAGGGGAGTGCGGCAGGTATAGTAAGCCTGCAACCCCTCCCTAGCTTGTATAGGCTGCTACCCCTCCATAGGTCCACACCGACCCCCAGCTACTCCAACCCCCGTGAAAGGTCCTCCGAGCTCTTGCACGCACCCCAACAAATCCTTGCAGTCATGGCGGCGGCATGTACTCTTCCTCTAACCCTCCCTTCCCCTCCCACCGCACCTGCCGATCCCCCGTCCCCGTTCTCCAGTATCTCCAGGTTCTCCAGCGCCGCCCCGTTCAGCGACATGTACAGCGGGCCCGCATGCCGGGGGTCGGCAGCACCCCCCGCCTCCCCTGCTGCGGCCCCCCCTGCTGCTGCTGCCGGTTGCAGGGCGGGCAGCTCCTCGAAGCGACCCAGAGGGATCACCGCCAGGTCTAGCAGGCAGTCCTGAGGGGGAGTGGGGGGGTGAGGGGGGGTAGGGTGTTGGGCAAACCTCAATGGGCTGTAGTATGCAAGGGTGGGGCGGGTTGGGGAACGGGAATTAAGGAAGGAAGGCTGCAGATCGCGGTGCCCACTGCCCTTGGTAACGACAAGCGGGAGGACAAGGGGTTTACCACGGGATCGGGGACTGCCTTCGCATCCCTTCGCATCCCCCTCCCAACCCCCGCCCCCCCACCCACCCTGAGGAAGGCAATGGCTCCCCCCAGGGCCGCCATCGCTGCGGGGTGCGACTCCACCCCGCCCGCAACCAGCCGCCGCAGCAGCGCGGGCCACCGCAGGGAGGCGTCAACCTCGGGACCAGCGGCAGCACCAGCATCAGCAGCAGAGGTGTCCACATCCATGGCGTCAGCGCCAGCAGTGACCCATGGGTCGGTCCCATAGGCGCCGTTGCTTGCTTCCGCGGCTGCGGCGGCACTGGCGGTGAAGTAGTTGCGGTCTCGGAGGAACTGAGAGGGGGGGCAGGGTGAGAGGTAGGTGGGAGGGGAGAGGGAGAGGGATGAAGGAGGCACGATCTTGGTACATGGCGAAAGGCAACCTCTATGTATCAAGGAATTATTGCCTTTATTGGCCCAGACCTATTGCCTAGCCCACGCATGTACGGCCACATAACGACACAAAGTCGTACCCCCCCCACCACCCCAACCAAGACTACGACACACCCCTACCCGGTAGGTCTTCTCCGCGCTCCACTCTCCGGCCAGGCCGCGCAACACATTGACCCGTGGGTCTCTCGTGCCGTTCCGCAGCACGTGCGAGGTGGTGGCGCTGAGCGGCTTGCGGGGCAGCACCAGCTCCTGAGGGGGTGGGATGAGAGATACACGAGGCACGTAGCGAGCGGAAGGAAGGGTAGGGGCTTGCTACGTTACAAGATGGACGTTCCGCAATACATCTCCTTCCCTCTCCGCGTGTCTGGATCCCCTCATCCCCCCTCCCTCCCCCTCCAGGTATCTTTCTCTCCCCCCCTTCTCCGTCCTCTCCCCTACCTGCGGCTGCAGTGCGGTGAGCTGTGTCCTCAGAGTGGAGCGCACCTCGTCATCATCGAACTCACCCACCAATACCTGGGGGGGCGGGGGGGAGGGAGGGAGGGAGGGGGGGAGGAGGGGGAGGGGTAATGTGAGCCGAAGAAGCAGCTTGCAGTGAATACAGGAGGGGAGTGGCCATACGTATTACCGCACAGTCAGCCACCGCTTCTCCTACCCTGACCCTATTGCTGCCGCTATCTCCGCTCCTCTACTGCTACTACCGGTATTCGCAACGCCGCAGCTGCCCTCCTGTCTCCAGCTCCCAGCTCCCTTACCCAGCCCCCGCACCCCCCCAACATGCAGTACCACTTGGTCTGGTTGCCCTAAACCCCCACCCTCCCTACACCACACACCTCCCTCCTCACCTGGCCCGAAGCCGCGTCCACTGCACACAGACCGATGCGCACCCGACCCCCGCCACCGCCACCGCCGCTTGGGGCCTCCTCCTGCTGCTGCTGCTGCTGCTCCACATCCACCTCCGCAACTGGTGAGGGAGGAGGAAAGAGCGGGAGGCGTGTGAAGCAGGAAGAGAGGCAAAGGAAAACCAAAATGTGCCAAGTAAGCGGTTAGTCAACCTTGCAGCCTCCACGCCTTCCCTTTCACAATCACACACACCCCTTCCCGTTATGCTCCCCTTTTCCCCTTTCCTTTACCTTTCCTCCCCAGTCCGCGAATCGCCCTCCCGTTCCCCCCTCACCCCATACACATCAACCCCTCCCCTCCCCCCCTCCTCCCCTCCCCCCCTCCTCCCCTCCCCTCCTCCCCCCCTCCCCTCCCCCCCTCACCCGCCAGCACGTACGACGCATCCGGTCGTGACGCCACCATTTCCGCATCCACCAGCGTGCCGCGACTCAGCACTGCAACCTTCTGACGGTCCACCACGTTACACTGGTAGGGGGGGAGGAGGGGGGGAGGAGGGGAAGGGGAGAGGGGGGGGAGGAGGGGGGGACAGGGAGGAATCAGGGGAGTTGTTGACTGATAGGGGATGCTTCTCCTTGCATGTTCTAGCAGCATAATGCGTGCGGCAGGCCGGGCACAGCTACAGCGTCCCCTTCCGTCCCCGCCCCTTTCCCAAGATCCCACCATCTTCAGTCCCCGCATCTTGCGCTCCTCGTTCCTCTTGGCCAGCATCTCGGGGGTCTCAGTCTGGGGGGTAGGGAGGGGGGAGTGGGCAGTGCTGGTGGATGAGAGGACTGCCGGTTTGCATGATGGCTGTCCGGTTTAAGCCCTTCCCCAGCGCAGACCGGACAGCCCCACATGCGAACGGGACCCACCTACACCATGCAAACCGGACTTCAAACCGCCCTGCAAATCAGCTCTCTCCCCCCCTCCCTCTTCCCCCCCACCTGCTCAATGACCACCACCCTGTACCCCGCCCTGGCCAGCCGCTCCGCCATGTCCGCGTACTTGACCTCGGGGAAGCCCGCGTGCGGCTGCTCCCCCCGCATGAAGGTGAGACCCAGCACCTCCACGCCAACGTAGGCGTCCATCTCAAACATCTGGGGGAGGGGGGAGGGGGGGGTGGGAGGAGAGGGGGGAGGAGGGGGAATTGACATGGGGAAGGATAAGGGGGAGGAAGAGCAGGGAGGGAGGATGATATTCCGCACGAGGGGGGCTGGGTGATGGGATATACGGTAGAGGGGAGGAGAGGGAGGAGAAAGCACTGATGCCACTGCGAGTACAATGGTAGGTTCGTGGGTTGAGGTACAACGGTGCTACACACTAAACAGGTGTAGCATTCATGTGGTCGGCAAAGGACCATCCCACTGTCGTACCACTCTCCCCCGCCCCCAGCCCTTCCCCTCCTTTGTCATGCAGCTCGTCGGTTTCCTCCTTCCTACCCCCTCCTAATGCGGAATATGCTATCCCCGTTGACCCCCTTCCTCCATACCTCGTAGAACTTCCCCATCTTGAAGAGCAGCACCGCGTCAAAGTGCCGCGACTTGAAGTTCCACCACTGCTGCTGCCCCTCGCTGATCTTGTACTCCTTGAACCTGGGGGAGGGGGCAAAGACCATACCGAAGGGGAAGGGGGTGGGGAAGGGGAGCAGGAGGGGGATGGACAGGAGGGGAAGAAGAGGAGGAGAGGAGATGGAGACAAGAAAAGTACGTGGCAACGGCCCCTGCCCTTCACCCTTTCTCTGCCCTTCACATCATGGTGCAAGGGCGCAGCGGCTACCTGCTCCTGATACCAACCCTCCATGGTCCGCATGGTCCGCATGGCCCGCATTCTACGCCTAATACGCGTAATCCCCTCCCCTCTTCCCCTCTCCCTCTCCGTTGTTTCACTTCTTTAATTCTTTCCCCTCCCTCTTCCTCCCTCCTCCCCCCCACCAGCTGGGCGGTATGTAGAGTGTCGCCGGGTCGTACTCCGGGTGGTCGGGCCGCCGCTGCTGCGCGTCCCTCAGCTGCTCCGGCTGCAGGAAGGGGAAGCGGGAGGACATGCGCTCCTGGAAGCGGGCAGCCTCGCCGTCCGTGCAGGCGGCAACACCCAGGGTCACCTCGGAGGTGGCTGGGAGGGGGCGGGGGAAGGGGAGGGGAGGGCGGGAGAGGGGTAAGACGAGGTTACGAAACATGGCCTTTCCCTTTTGCTTTCATACATGCAATAGTGGCTGACCCTATGGCTTTGTCCTCTCCACCCCTACCCTTTACCCATTTAGTTACCAAGGACTCATATGGGTCATGACAAAGCCTCCCTCCCCCCGTCCCCAGCCCCCCGCCCTCCCCTCCCACCTTGTGACTTGCTGGGGGTGTCCCCCAGGGCGCTACTCAGGCTGCGAACCGACGAGGGAGTCACCGCACCTCCTCCTCCTCCTCCTCCTCCTCCTCCCCGACTCCTCCCCGCACTGCTGCCGTACCCTCCCCCCGCCTGCCCGGGGGGAGCCACCGTGCCCGGGGTACTAACCACGGAGCGGCCGCCCCCGCCGGCGGCGGTGGCGGAGGCGGGGCCCTTGGATGCCGTACCGTGATGCGGGGTGACGGCGGCGGCGCCGGGGGTGTGAGCGGCGGCGAGGGGGGTACGGGCGCCGCCGGGGGTGTGGGCGGCGGCGGAGGCGGCGTTGGCGGCAGAGGCGGCGGCCCTGCCCGCCGGAGTGGTGGCGGCGGCGGCGGTTCGTGTCTGGGTCTTGGTCTTGGCGGAGGAGCCCAGGGCGCGTTTGGCTGGAGCCGAGGACTGCATGGGGGGGAGGGAGGAGAGGGGGCAGGCGGGAGGAGGTGGTGTGAGGTCGTAGGGTGTGGAGGAGGTCGCACGTGCACCACCTCCCACCCCCCGACCCTGGTTGCAATCCTGGGTCGGCATGGGTTCTGTCAGCAGATGGGAGCCGGCCCCTCCTCCTGGTTCAGCCTCATAGCCTCACAACAACGCAAGGCTTCCTCTCAACGAGGAAACCCATCCCACTCCAGCCCAGTGGGTGTGGTTTGGTATTGTCTTTGACCCCAGCCCAGTTCATTGGTTCCATCCTCTTCAGTCTTCACCCCACCCCGCCCCAGCCTCCGTCCTACCTTGGTCGGCGGCCTCTTCCTTTTACCGCCCACCCCCACGTTGTCGTCTCCGTCGCTCTCACTCGCCTCCTCCTCCTCCTCCTCGTCGTCATCCTCCTCCTCCTCGGCGGAAAAGTCCTCATCACTGCCGCCGCTGGCTCCTATACGACACACGAACAGTACGGCATTCAGACATCGAAAACAGCGATATCGCGAAAACCCACATGGTAAGGACCGACAGCTCAAACAGCGCAATAACACACTACTACCTCGTTATTCCGCGTCAATTGCTTGTCCACTAATCCAAACAATCCCTTTCCCTCGTCCATGTGCAGCAATGTACCCTATCCGCTCCCTCCCACTCACCCGCCTCATACTCGCTATCGCCATCCGTCTGCTCCTCCTCCTCCTCCTCGTTATCCCCCACATCGTCCTCCAGCCCATCAGCAACCGCATCCGCCCCCTCCTCGTCCTCAATGATCGTCCGACGGAGGCGCTTCAGCCCGCCTCCCGCCGCCTTCCCTGGAGCCTTCTTCGCTGCCTTGCCGCCCTTACTGGCATCCTTCTTGGTTGCCGCCTTGCCGCTAGCATCGCCCTTGGCGCTGCTAGCCTTGTTGGCTTTGTTACCGTTTGCGGCGGGTGTGGAAACAGCGGCAGCGTTGTTTGCGGGCTTGGGTTTGCTGGTGCTGCCGCCCGCCGGGACCTTGGCGGCCTTAGCGGTGGCGGTGGGGGGTGCGGCTGAGGCGGGGGCAGCGGCGGCAGGGGCTGCAGCGGAGGGGGGAGGGGCGCCGGCGGGTGTGGTGGCGGGACCTGCTACACCGGCGGCAGGGGCTGCAGCAGCGGAGCCAGGTGGCGGAGTAGCGGCGGGAGCACCTGGGGTCTTGGCAGCTGTTGAGAGGGAGGCGGGGAGGCGGGGAGAGAGCGGACGGGAACGAAAGGGAACAGCATGAGGAGAGCGACAGCGGGGACATTGGATGGATGGCTTTTTGAATCAAACGGTTATAATGATCGCAACGGGCAGCAGGAAAGGCGTATACGTGGCTCATGTTTACCTGCAACCGCCTTAGGCGTCCCTGCTGCTTTCGATGCCCCGCCAAAGAAAGCTGAGATTTTTTGTTGCGTCGGCTTAGGCCCATCATCCTTCTTGGCCGATCCCCCAAAGAACGCGTTAATAGACTTCTGCTTTAGTTTAGAACTATCCATCTTGTGCGCCTAAAGGCTGCAGAGCTACGCCTTGTTGTCGGTTAAACCAGAGCACCCCCCGCGCCAAAAGCGAAGTCACCGGTAATGCCCGAACCCGTGTAAGCTCGACAGTAAAACCGTTATGGTTAACTATTACGAACGCGCCCCCACTGGTTACATATAGCGCGGGAGAGCGTTTAGTTCCGTCCTAATGGCCAAAGCGGTGTTGCGCCCTGCAGACCTCCTGGTGAGGCAGCAAGCTATCCAAGAGGTTCCGCGGCAATCCGAGCCATGGATTCCGAAGGGTGCACCCTTCACATAACACGCGGGCAATCCATTGTGGTTCCAAATCCTATCGTACACAACGCCTGGCTCGGTGGAGCTCGGATCACATGCTTACTCCAACATGGCACACCACTGCTGCAACAATTATAACTGTAAACTTGGCATCGCCAATATCTTCAGCAAAATCCAATTTTGGTACGCTTTGACCCGTTCCCTCCTACTGCCAATACCTACTGCCAATTCCAGAAGGAAGTGAACTAAATCCTTAAATTCTTACTGCTCAACAGACTATATCGGCAATCACAAAGAAGCTTTTGCATTTTGGGCCGCGGTGAAACACCATGGCTGGTTTCAGCTATGGCGGTTCATCTCATCTCCTTGGCGACAACTCCTTTGACTACGAGGTATGTAACATGTTTTACTTCTCCCCTCATTTACGCCGAGCCGAACCCTAGGGTCAACCAGTCCATGTACTGTACCCATCACACCCATGCATCCGCCATTTTGTCGTGTCCTTCCCCTCCCCTGTCCAGGACGATGTGCTGCAACGCTCCGCCGACTACCCCTCCGACTACCCCTCTGATCCCGCCTCCGCCTACCCCGGCTCTTCCTCCTTCGCCCCTCCTGCTGCCGCTTCCTTCTCTGGTGACCCCGAGATGGACGAGCTGGTCGCTCGCAACATCCGCGATGTACTACAGCGGGTGGAAGCGGTAGAGGAGGCGGGTGAAGAGGAGGGAGCAGGAGGAGGAACAGCAGGAGCAGGAGAGCCAGGCGGTGGGATGGGTTCAGGAGATTACGGATATGAAGGCGATGTCGGGATGGCAGCTTTGGCTGCTGGCGGTGCTGCTGCTGCTGGTCCCAGCGGTCGCTCCCAGGCTCTTTCGCAGCTACAACAGCAGCGCAGACAGCAGAAACAACATCTGCAGCAAAAGAAGCCCGGTGGCAAGCAGGCCGCTGGGCAGCCGGGTGCGGCTCCGGGACCCGGGTCCGCTTCCTCCTCCTCCGCAGCAGCTGCAGCTGCAGCCGCGGGAGGCTCAGCGGGGGCAGGCAGGGCGGGTTCAGGGGCGCTGCGGCGCTCCTCCAGTGGGGCAGGAGCGGGAGCTGGAGGTGGAGGTTCCGGAGGAGGAGGTGCCCGGCTGGTGGGGGAGTCCTCAGTAGGCGCCAGCGGAGGAGGCGGCGGCGGCGGCTCAGGCGGAGGAGGGGGAGGAGGCGGGGGTGCTGTGGCCTCCTCGCTGCTCGACGTGCCGGGCCAGCCGGAGGCCTCGCTGCGGCTGCACAAGGCGCGGCTGCGGGCGGTGGAGGAGGAGCTGGGGCGGGCCAACAAGGCGCTGCTGGGTGGGTGGGAGGGAGGGAGCGGAGGGGCAGGAGAAAGGAAAGGAGAGAGAGGGTAGAAGGGACAGGGGGGGTTAATTTCAGAGGGCTTAGTCGTACCCAGATGTATGGATGGAGGGAGGGGTAGGGAGGGAGTACATGACCGCCCCCACTCCCGTGAGGCGGCTGCGCCTGACAGAGCTATACACCTCACGCGGTACAACCGCGATGTGGGTTTGCTGCTCCGCCTGGCCTCCACCCACAGTGTTTACACCGCCCCCCCCTCCCCCTCCTCCCCTCCCCCAGACCGTGAGAAGCAGCTGGGTGAGGCGCTGCGGGAGCTCAAGGAGCTGCGGGGGCAGGCGGCTGGCTGGGCGCGGGAGAAGAAGAACATGGAGGGGCAGGTACCGTTCAAGGGACGGGGCGGAGCGGGGTGGAGAGGGAAGGGAGTGTCCTGGCTGCATGGAGGGGGGAGCTGCAGGCTTGCGAAAGGGGAAGCGCGGTAGTGATTGACTGCGCGGCGCACGACCCGGCCCCCTGTTTGTACCTCTTCCTTCTGAATAACACACGCTATTTTATTCTGTACGGCACCGTGTGTCCCTATCCTCTCACTCCCTCACTCATTCACCCACCCTAACCCGCCCTGGCACACGCAGCTGGACCGCGCACGCAAGCAGGCGGCGGAGGCGGAGGCGGCGGCACGCACCACCGAGTCGCAGGTGGGGGCTTGGGAAGGAGGGGGTGGGGGTAGGGGGGGAGCGGGAGTGGTGTAGGCGGAAGGGGGTCAGATCTTGAGCAGCGAGTCATGTTGAGGGCAGGGAAGGCCGCGGAAGGCGGAGATTGGGCTGCAGGGTCCTGCGTCTCCCTGCACGTAGGCCCTTTCCGAGTCCGGTGCTCGTAGCAAGGGTGTGAGCGTCATTCCTCCCCTGGGCAGCATCAGCTGCATGACTCACACAGGGAGCGCTTCGAAGGTCTTTTTAGCGAGGTTCCTGTCTGCATGCGTCATCCCAAACTTTCCCACTCCCTCCTCCCTGCCCACCCAACCCCGTTGCCCCCCCCCCAACACATCCCACCCACCCCCCCAGGTTCGCGAGCTGTCCAAGGCCGACAGCCGTGCTGAGCGGGAGCGCAAGGCGGCGGAGGCGGAGGTGCGGGCGCGGGACGTGCGGCTGCAGCGGGCGCTGGAGGAGGTGGAGCGGTACCGGCAGCTGCTGGGGGAGGTGCGGGCGCAGGTGAGGGGGGGGCTGGGGGAGGTGCGGGCGCACGTGAGGGGGGGGGTATTAATCTAGCAAACTAGGCAGTAAGGGCGGTTCGGGGGGCACAGCGCTTGCATGGCATGTGGGTTAGGAGAGGGAAAGGCTGGAAGAGGACGACCATGGATTGCAGGAGCAACTGACAATCCGTCGCATGCCTTCCTCCCATGCATCGCCTCCCCCATTTCCCCCCCCCCCTCCCCCCCCCCCCCCTCCCCCCCCAGGAGCGCGAGTCCAAGGGTGCTGCCGCCGCCGACAGCGGCCGGCTGCTGTCTGAGAACCGGCGGCTGGAGCGGCAGCGCGGGGAGCTCATCACGGCCTTCAAGAAGCAGCTGAAGCTCATAGAGGTGAGACCCGGGGAGCTGGGGGGGGGTCGCGGGGGGATGGGGGTCAAAGACCATACCGAACCATAGCAAACCACAGGTTGGGGCAAGGCAATAGGGATAGGAAGCGGTAGGGGGGCGGGGGGATGGGGCGTGAGAAGAGATGTGGCGTGGGGCTGTTGCAGGGGTGGGGGTGATGGTGGGTGGGGGTGTGCCAACCAGCCGTTAGCTTCCCCATGTTACCTGATAGCGGCTGTGACGGCCGGCCCCTCTCTCCCCTCGCCACACTGCCCGCGCCGTGGCCCTGTCTGCCCTTCCTGCACCCTCCATGCACCCTCACCTGCATGCCTTCCTCCCCCCCTGCCTTACCTCCCCCCCTCCATGCACCCTCCCTCCCCCCCCCTTGCAGGTGCTCAAGCGCCAGAAGGTGCACCTGGAGGCGGCCCGGGCGCTGCAGTTCAGCGAGGAGGAGTTCCTCAAGACGCTGGACATGGGGGCCAGCTAGCGGGGGGAGGGAAGGGAAGGGGGAGGGGGCAAGCTAGAGCGCGAGCTGCACCCGGAGGGCCTGCACAGCCTGCTTGATGACGTGTGGAGTGTGTACTGGAGCGTGCGTGTCGCTTGGCCTGTGCTGTACTACATATGGGAGCTATCTTTGCGCTTGTGTGTACGAGAGCCGTGATTCCCCGGTGGTGTGTTTTGATGGCTTGGGTGGGTGTCCCTGTTCGAACCTGTGTACATAGTAGCAGAGCTGTTGATGAGAAGCTGATGTAAACTGTTGGCTATGGCTCGGCAGGGTAGGCAACCGGCACGCTGGCGGGCCCGTGACAGCAGGGGCTCTGGCCTTGGGGGGCGGCTGTGCGGGATTGAAGAACGTGCTGAGGCACGTCGGGTCGCGTCATCGCCGGACTGTTCTGACGTTAGCTCAGCCGGGCGGTATGTGTTTGCTACGCTTTACAAGCAATGCCGTGCACTGATGTGACCCATGGGTCAGAATCGTGTACCTTGCACTATGATGCGCCTGCTAAGCAGCAACTATGACCAGGAAGCAAAGCGCATGGTTAAAGCAGTACGCACTCATTTGGAAACGGAAAGCGTCCCATCACCATGCAATTGAAAGCCGCAAATCCGAACACGCAAAAGGGCCCCCTCCAGCCCCCTCTCTACACCACGGTAACCAACTTTCTCCGGCGGCATGACGCGCCAGTACGGGGCGACAACCATTGGCGCCCTTCCCTCTGCGCTGCAAAGCCCTCTTGTGAGGTATCGTATGTGCCATACCAATTAAGGAGCAAGGAGGCCAAACAGGAAGCAGGCAAGGCAACAACCCAACATGACCGCAGCACCGGAGCTCCTGCCAGCTTCTCCCACGCGGGCCCTACGAAGGCCAGTGCCCTTCTGTGCTGGCATGCGCCGACATCACGACGAATCCCAGAAGGGATCCGGTAAGATGGAACACCGCAGGCACCCGCTTGCAACCCCGCGCTGTGCCCCCCTCACTCACTGCCCAGACCGCCACACACCAGCCGCATGCAACTTCCAACGTCGGTAGGCCGGCTCTCACAGCCTCTACGTACCTCAACACACCCCTCCTCTAAGCCCTCCACACCCCCACCATCCATTTCATACGACCGGCAACAACCACGCATGAATGCAAGCAGCCAACAACACAGCTAAGCAACTATGCCCCTCCTCTTCCTCCCCTCCCTGCCTCCCTCCCTCACTCCCGCGCCTCCCCCTCCCTGCCCCGCCCCATCAGCCTCGCCCCACCCGCCCGCAGACCCCCCACCAGCCCCCGCCACACCGCCTGCACCCCCGCACCCAAACCCGCACCCACACCTCCCCCCACCCCTCCCCCCGCCTCCCCGCACAAGTGCATGCGGGCACACACACCCCTCGGCTGCCTGCTCAAGTACTCCTGCAGCGCTGTCAGCAGGGGGGCGGAGTGCGTGTCTAGCCACTGCCGGCAGTGCTGCTGCTGCTGGGGCGGGGGTGGGGCCGCAGGGGAGGACTCCTCCTGCGGCGGCTGCTCCGCCTGCCGTACGGCAGTGACGTTTTCAATGCTGCTGCTGTACGGCTTTTCTTGCCGTAGCGGTTGGCGGGTTTCCCTTCCTTGTACGGCGGCCAGAGCAGCGGCGGCGGTATCGCACAGGGATTCTGTGGTGCAGGGCAGGGCCGGGGAAGAGGGGAGAGGGAGAGGGGTTAGGGGCTGCGGAATCCGGTACGGCAACGGTAGGGCCAGTACGGACACCCGGTTGTACAGCCCTGGTCTGTTGTACACTGCGTAGGGAAAGAAACTTAGGCTCCAAGTCCGGAGATACGGTAAAGGGACCGAGAGACGTGCTTAATAGAGGGTCCGGGAAGGGCATTGCCTGACAAAGATGGAGGGAGAGGTCGCTTCTCCTGGGTCCTGGCTCCCTGCTACCGTTTACACAGCGCAGCGGCCCGCATCGGCCCCCACCTGCGTAGCTCCTGAGCGCCTGCCGTACGTGGGGGCTGCCCAGCACCGCGGCTGCCTCAGCCACCGCCAGCTGAGGAAAGGAGGGAAGGAACGCGGGTAAATGCGGGTGGCGGGGTTAGCAAGAGGTGGAATTGCCGCGCTGGGCTGGAATTTTGATTCCCGTTCCCCTGTCCGTACAATCGTATGTTTAGGGACAGTGGCGATGGGGTGGTGGGGTGGGGAGGGGGGTGCAATTCTCATTCGGACAGGAGGTGCCAGGACAGCGCCAAGGGCGGGTGTTGCTTGCCAAACCACTGCACCCTACCGGTATTCTCCTGCCCTCCCTCCCTTCCCCCCGACCCACCTCACAAAGCCCACACCGACTGCCCATCTGCCCCGCCGCCCCCGCCAGCCGCCCCCCTGCAGCACCCAGCGGCCCCGCTGCCGCCGCCGCCACCTGCCGTACAAGATCTGGATCCAGCGGCGGCGGCAGCGGCCGCTGCCGTACAGTTCCCCTCCCACTCCCGCTGCTGCCGCCGCCGCCGTCACTGCTGCTTTCAGCCGCCTTGCTCTTAATCCGGTTGCGGATCACAGTCCCGCGGGATGCGGATACGACAGCAGCAGCAGTAGCTGCGGCTGCGCTTGTACGGCGGCGGCTGTAGCTGTCAGCGGCGGCGGTGTTAGCGGGGTGTGCCGTACAGCTGCCCAGGAGGGTGCAGGCGGAGGCGGGGTCCAGGGAGGCGGGGGAGGGGCCCAGGAGCCAGGGGAGCAGTGGGGCTGCGAGGGGTTGGGTGGGGGGCGGGAACGGGTGTGGGTTGGTTGGGGGGTGGGAGCTAGACAGGGCGTAGCTTAGGCATGGCGGGCGCGAAGCAGCGGTATGGATTAGGGGCCGCACACACAAGCCAATTTTCGCGGCCAGTAACCTTAACACACGCTCGCACATGCATGCACCCCCCCCACGTCCCCCCCACCTCGTTTGTCCAGCCACTCGCCGCACCCCTCCGCGAGCTCCCCCGGCAGGCTAGCGCATGCAGCACCCGCCCAGGCGAGTGCAGGCGAGGAGCCGGCAGCTGCTGCCGCCTTGCTTCCCCCTCCTCCCCCTCCTCCTCCTCCTCCTCCTCCTCCTCGCCTCTGCCGCTGCTGCTGCCGCTGCTGCTGGGTAGCGGCCACCAGAGCCACCGCAGCTGCCTCGGGGGTGACGGGCGGGGGGGCGCAGCCGCAGGAGGCGTTGCTAGGAGGGGTGGAGGAGGAGGAGGGAGTGGAGGCTGCTTCCGCTGCTGCCTCCGCCTCCGCTGCTGCTGCTTCCACTGCTGCTGCTGCAGCACCCCGCTGTACGGCGGCGAGCAGGTGGCGACACAGGGGACACTCCAGGGGGGAGGAGCAGTGGGAGGGGACCTGCGGGGGGGGATGCGTGGAGGAGGTGGGATGCGAAGGGGCAGAGTGGGGCGGGATTACAGGGTGGATATCAGGGAGGACGTCAGGGAATACATGCCAAACCAACATGCACTATTTCTAGTTACAGTGCCGTACCCCACCCGCCCCTCCGCTCACCCGCCCCCAGCTCGGATCGCTCCGGACGTCCTCCCGGCCCCCGCCACCGCCACCACTACCACCACCACCGCTGTCGTCCTCGTCCCGGCACACGCCAGCCTCCGCACACATCTCGGCGGGGGAGGCGTCTCGGAACCAGTCCACTGCGGCGGGCAGCAGCGCCTCGGACATATCGTAGCACTGCATGCGGGGGGTAGGGGGGAAGGGGGTGGGGGTGAGGGGGGTGAGGGGGAGAGACGGGCCGGGTGATCGATTCTGATAGCGCGCTGTCATGCGGCCATGTTGGGAGCAGGGGGAGCAGGCTATGAGGGAAAGGAAGTCGAACTTGCAGAAGCCAAGGAATTTAAGTACTTTGCGACGTACAAGGGCAAGGGGATGAATGGTGGGTTCAGTGCTGCTGTGGAGCGCTGCGGGTGTGAGCAGGGCGGCTACGACCCACGGGTCACCTCGGCCTCACCTCCTCCTTGTCTGGCCAGATGGGGCATATGGCCTTCTTGGTAAGCCACACTAAAAGCGAGTAATGGATTGGGGTCGCGGGAGGGGCCGGCGATGCAGGCTTGGTTAGCAATAATTACCTCCAAAGCAAAGCGTGCATCCAGGTACAGGAAAGCCAAAGGTAGACGCAGGCTTTCCTCACGCATGCTTGCGGCAGTCTTCGCATCGCGCGCGCAACAAAGGCTGCCATACCAAAGCAAATTGATCTAACAGCGCAGCAGCTTTGTGCGGTTTACTGGTTAGTTCGACCTGCTGTCAGCTGCACTACCCCGATGTTTTGGAAGTAATTTGCAACAGCACTAGGGTTTCGGGCATAACGTTCCTGCTACCGTAGAACGCGGACGGCTACTCCCTAGGCTTCTTCTTCTCTTGCAAACTCATAAAGGCGACCTCGAGAAGAAGAGAGGAAGAAAGCAAAAGCCGCCCCACCTAGGAAGTCCGCTGAATCGCGGTCGCACAGCACATCATCCAGGATCCTGACCGTCACAAGACAGGTCCCGCACAGGCCGTGCGTTAGCGTTGTCGTCTCGGCAGCAGAAGCCGCTGCTCCTGCTGCTCCTGGGTCTTCAGAATCTACGTGGCAAGAAAAACAGCTCAAGACGTTACGCCCCAGCAAAATGTATTGCGTTTGCTCGTGGAATACAGGAACGGAAAGGGTAAAAAAGCTTGCCTTTGGCAGCCCTAGTAACAGGGGCGTTTAAGAAAGGAAGAAGAAGAAGGAGAAAGGTCAGCGGAAACAACACCGTTGCTTTCATTTTGGAGAACCACAGCTAGTAGCTATTGTGCATAAACGTTGAGCTGCGTAACAAATTGGCTCAGCTGAGCAGGTGTACCGACTAAACAATCGCCAATCTCACGGTACGGCAGATTGCGGCGCCGGAACCAATCCCGTAGGTGTTTGCACACGATGAAAAAACCAACAACCTGTGCAATTTCCCGTTCACCAGAGAAATGAACCCTCCCAAGGCCACCACAGCTCTTCCTCCGGGTGATGTGATACCCCTTGACTGCGGTTGCGGTTTGATGACCCGTGGGTCTGTCTGCGCGCTGCTCCTCCCATCAGGCCTTCCCGCTCCCCCGCTTGCAACTCCATGTCTCCCTGGCCAGCTGAGGCACATTGGCCATGACACATGCTGGTCTATGCTGCACCTATGCACGTATGCGAGCGCTGTACGAGGCCTCCCATGTACGGCAATTGGTAGCGCAATCAGAGGGAGCTTCAAAGAGGCCAACTAGGGGTGGTGTCAGGATACGAACAGCTTGGGCGAATGAATGATCGTTACATGACCGTTACAGTGATCTCCTAGGATGGAACACGGGTGATGAGCCTAACCCTACACTGCTAGGCCAAACAGAGCAAGCTTTGGTGTATAAAGGGTACATGCCGTGTGCTGCAGAGAAGCGCGCTGCTGGGTACCGGTGGGCTGTAACGCCCAGGACAGCTAGGGAGGCCTGCGGCGGTTTAGCACATCAGTCACACACACACCGGGTGCTGCAAACCCATGCAAAGCCACATACGACATCCTGGGAGCTGCCGGTCGTTCCCGGTCAGTCCAGGGCTCGTCGGCTAATTTAGCACCCCCCAGCCAACAGCCCCTTCAGCCACATGTTGCGGTGTACGTGCACTCCGCCTGCACCTGTTGGGGCCACCGCTGAGCTATCGACCCAGCTGGTGACTACCTTGCACCGGACTACTCGGCTGCTGGCTGGCTGCTCTGAAGGTGACGATGTACGGCAACAGGCAGGCCTGAGAGCTGCAGTGCCGTACGCCGTACAACCGGCACGCGGTGGCTTGGGGCGGGGAAGCCGCTGGTCAACGTGACCGGCAGCTATCGGTAGCCTTAGCATGGTTTATTCCTACCGGTAATATCCCCGTTGCATGGATTCTGTTGATGTACGGCTGCTTGCTCTTAGCGAGTCCTGGCAGGCGAACTGAGTTCGGTTGGTATGGTGAAGGCCGTCATGCCTGCGAGGCTGTTTGGCATATTGGGACGGTTTTGTCCTGTGGTGTTGCGAGCAGTGAAACCGTAATGAGGCCAGAAGCATTTGAGCGTCGATGCGAGCTGTGCACGTGAGAGTGGTGTCCGCACCGACCTTGTACCTATCGCATGGCACCCCGTACTCCTCCTAGTCACTGTTCCTTCGAGTGTTATTCCAGCCTAGACAAATAGCCTAGACTGCTGCTGTTGGTATTTTGACTGGAAGGCAAGTGGATCATTGACCATATTTTGCAGCAGCGGGAACTGCTGTGTGCGCTACCCTGCTCCCGAAGCACGCTGTTATAAGGTGTGAAGCCCGCTGTCTCTTTCAAGGCAACCTCACATGGAGCTGAACAACCACAATCCCGTCATGAAGCCGGGCGGCTACTACAACCGCCACTCGCGAGGTCAAAGGGCAGCCATCGAGGCCAGTCTTGGTCTGCTGCAGCGGGCTGCGCGCGAGGCACCGCTGCCGGCGGGGGGCGCCCCGGGCAGCGCCTTTCGCATCGCGGACCTGGGATGCAGGTCAGGCGATGAAATGGGTTGAAGAGGACGATGACAAAAAGGGGCGCAAAACTGATAAGTTGTGTTTTCTACCTTAGAACATTGCTTGTCTCAGCCGTAAGCATTCGGCTTCAACATACGTAAAAGGACCCATGGGTCGTCTTTACTCCTGTATCGCGCTTTGCACAGGAAAGCAGCGCGGTCTGTCGGGCTCCAAGCGGTTTTTTAAAAAGAGAGCATGCAAAATAATCTAGTCTGTCCGTTGCTTTGTACGCCGCTTCGCGTCCTGTTTTGGATCCGGCTTCGTTCGTCGTCTATCTGGACCTAGCCAGGCATTGCAGCAGGCAGCATCCGGCTGTTGGCCTGGCAGTCTAGTTATGCCTTTCCATTGTTCATATTCTGATTGTAATATAACCTATCTCTGCCGAGAATGGAGACTAATCGGGCCATGCAAGGGCGATACATACATGCCCACTCTACCGGTACCTCTCTCATGTGCATTACGAAGGGCCGATGAGAATTGCTAAAAGCTCCCCTCCACCTCCTGCCCGCCCCTGCATGCAGCCAGGGTGCCAACTCCGTGCCGCCGCTGTCGGCGGTGCTGGAGGTGCTGCAGGCGCGAGCCGCCGAGGTGCAGGCGAGGGCTGAAGCAGAGGACACGGAGGCGGCGGCTGTCCCCTTCCCGCTGCCCGTGCACGTGTTTCATGAAGACCTGCCTGCCAACGACTGGGGCAGCTTGTTCGGTGTGGTGGAGGGCGAGCAGTCGTACCTGCCCGCACCGGGGCAGTGCCCGGGGCTGCAGGTGTTTCCGGCGGCGGTGGGCAGGAGCTTCTACAAGAGGTGCGGGCCGGGGGGCCGGCCAGGGGCCAGGGGCGGGGCGGGGGCCTGGTGTATGTGTGGAGCTGCAAGGTCGCAAGGAGTCAGGTACCGGTAATCATCCTGTGGGCTGCGTGGTGGGACCAGGATAGCCCTGTCGTACGCCGCCTTCAGGAGCTCCTCTCTCCATGCAGGAGCCTTAGCATGCCGCAAAAGCTGCTTCCTGCTCCCTGCCATACCATACCATAGTCCTCACTCCTCGTCCCCGCCTTGCTGTCTTCCCATGCAGGCTGTTCCCGCCCTCCTCCATCCACCTGGCCATGTGCTTCGCGGCCCTGCACTGGCAAGGCGACCTGCCGCCCGGGCGCCTCCGACCCACCGACACGCTCCTGCCCTTCGCCACGTCAGACACCCGGGTGTACGAATCATACCGTACGACAGCCAATGCGGGCCTCCGACGGTTCTTCGAGCTGCGGGCGGCGGAGGTGGCGCCGGGCGGCTCGCTGGTGTGCCACTTCGTGACACATGCTCGGGGACGGGATGAGGTGGAGCAGTGCATGGCGGTAAGTGCATGAGCCCCCATTAGTCACCCCACAGGGACGGCAAGTTGTTGTATTCTAGTGACCTGTTATGTTTGGTCACGTCTTCAGGCGTGCGCGCCATCTATTCCTCGTTCGCCGCACGATAACGTTCCAACCGCCCGCAACATCCCGCTTCATGCATCCGAACCCCACACACCGTTTTATCCATCCATATCCCGGGCCCCCCGCAGGCTTGCAGCACCGCTGCGCTACAGATGGTTTCGGAGGGCTTGCTGGATCCAGAGGACTTGTCGTACCTCGCCCTTCCCCTATTCCCCTACCAGCCTGACGACGTGCGTTCCATGCTGACCACCGCCCCCCTCTCATCCTGCTGGGCCCTGCGCTCTGCTGAGGAGTCTCACGGGCAGCACCCCGCATACCTGCAGTACCGCGCAGGCAGCATGAGCAAGGAGGAAGCATTCAAGGAGATGGTGGATGCCATCCGTGCAGCGGTTGAGCCGCATTTCGTGAACGCCCTTCGGAGCCAAGTAAGGCAGCGAGCACGAAGCAGCAGCAGCAGCAGCAGCAGCGGAGGAACAGGAGGAGGAGGGGCAGCGGGAGGGGGAGGGGCATCCAGGATGGAGGATGGGCGGGGTGGTGGGGACGCAGTGACGGTGGAGGCGTTGGTGGAGGAGCTGTTTGGACGCGCGGAGCGTGTGATAGCGCAGGCGGACTGTGAGGCGCACAGCGGGTACAACTTGATGTACCTGTGGCTGCACCGCAAGTAATGGTAGCAGCAGCAGTTGAGATGCATGCGTGCATGCAGGTCTGCAAGGGCAGTAATGGTAGTAGCAGTTGAGACGCATGCGTGCATGCAGGTCTGCAACGGCAGTAATGGCGGAGGCGTTAGATGATGCATGAGTGCATGCGGGTCTTCGTTGCATGACTAAACGCGTGTAGAGCCGTAAATCTGGAGGCTGGGACCGTGTCCATGTGGAATAGTGCTATTCTACGACGGGTATGCCGAGCAGCTTGCCAGGCGGCGAATTTCCGTAGGCATTCCCGCGCCCAGAGGGAAGAAGAGTGGAGAACCCTTGGGGGAAGTTACAAGCGCGACCTTGCAAGCTGCTGGAAGGCATGAGGAGATCCGGGGCAGGTGCTCCGCAGCACACCGGTGCCGCCCCTACATGCCTAGCGGCCAGGTCTTCTTGACGGGTGAATCCAGCTAACCTGCTAACTGCTAGGTTGGCTGCAGTACGTCATTATGCGGTACAGCGGGTGACTGGTTCCGCAGCTATTCCCGGAAGTGCGTGCACCCTGTCCCGCGAGTAGGGTTGACGACATTACCGGTATACGCCGCCCTGACGCATGGTCTATAGCCCCCAGGACAACAACGTGTTGTAGACCGGTACGTGTGGGTTACCATGCAGGTGTAGATTCGGGGTGGGCTTTCAGCAGGGCGTTTCCGGAGGGAAGTCACTGTTGGACACGGGTCAAAGGGTGGGTGTGCAGGGCCTGTGCATGACACAAAGACAGCAGCTGTCCGCATGTTGTTATTGTTGTTGTTGTTGTTTACAGCACAACACGCAAATCCCCTCTCAACTACTCAGCCCATGCAAGCCGTTGCAACCCCTCCCTCACCTGATAACACTCCAGCTGGGCGCATACGTGCGTGACAGCCCAGAGGACGAAGAAAACCAGCCTCATATCTTAATGCAATTCCGCTAACTAGTCCATACACGCCACCAACTTCGCGGGTGCCTTATCTATGGTAATTACCAGACACCGGCAACCAGCGGTAGAAGACGTCCAGAGGCGTCATACGGTTATTTAGGTGCACGTCACAACCCTGTCTTCAGAGCACCAGCATTTGTTCGCCGTACTCACCATGTAGCATGTACGACGCTGCAGCATGTTTCAAAACCACTACAGTATGTCCTTGTATTCGTGTATTCCTGTCGCTCTCACACTACTACAGCCGGGACTGCAAGCGTACGGCACCCCCCCCCGCCGTACACCCCTGCTGCACACACACACACACATTCCGACATGCGGCCAGCAGTACCCTGAACAGCAGCAACACAGCAACAGAAGCCACGCGCTCGCCTGTGCGTGCTACCGCCCCTGGGGCCCCCTCCGCCCCTCGCTCCCCTCCCCTCCCGCGCCGCCAGCCATTCGCCTAATAGGCGTCCAATAATACCATACCATCGCAGTCACGCAGCACTGGAACCTCATCAACGGTTTGATCTACTTGATTGCGGCAGCTAACCATCTACATACCTACAGCGCCATACGTTATCCTTTCATTCCCTCATCCTGGCAAATCATCCAACTCCTTTCAGGCCCCCTTCGCTCCCACGCGCCCCCAGCCCACCACCTAGACCGGCCTGCTCAGCAGGTTGATTCCGCCCGCCGAGCTCCTGGCCAGCGCGGTGGAGGCGGAGGCGGCGAACAGCAGCAGGTCGTTGTGCGGTGTGGCGGCGGCGGCAGGCGGCAGGGACAGAGAGCCGCCGAACAACCCCAGACGGAAGCCGGATACCTGAGGGGGTGGGGAGGGGAGCCGAGAGGCAAGGTCATGGGGGACTGGCGGCATGGGGAGGGGGTGGCGGGTTGGTAAGGTTTGGCAAGGCATTGTTTACGTCCCACCCCGCTCCCCGCTCCCCATCCCACTTCTCCCCCCCCCCACTGCTCACGTGGTAGGTCAGGTGGTTGGGTTGACGTACCCACGTGACCTGCCCCCAGGCCTGCGTGGACAGCGGGCCCGCCTGCGTCTCCAGCTTGAACCGCTGACCGTCCTGGGGGCGAGGGAGGGGGGATCAAAGACCATACCAAACCATAGGAGACCACAGGTTGGGGAGGGATGGGGAGGGAGGGGAGGGAGGAAGGGAGGGGTTGGGGGATAGGAGATGCGTGGTCTTCCCATCCCAGCTGGCTCTAGTGCCCCGGTGTGGCTCGCATACCAGTACGGGAACAGACTACCTTACATGGAGCACCTTCGTCGCCCCTTCATTAGGTCATCTTAAGCCCCTTGAGGCCCCTCATCCCTCACCTCCGACAGCTCAAACAGCTCCAGTACGGGCACGTACTGCAGTCTGCCGTACGGCCAGCCCCCCGCCGTGGTGACCAGCACCTGCCACTGGCCCCGGAACCAGGACAGGGGTGGCTGGGGCTGCGGCTCTGGAGGCGGGGAGGAAGAGGAGGAGGAGGGGTCGACTGCTGCTGATGATGATGATCCCTCACCTGGGAACAATTATGAGGGTTGGCAAGAAAAGGGGCGTGCGTAACGATATCGACATAAACACATAATAAAAGAATTTTCGAGAAGAGTACGCTGAAGAAAATGCAGCAATAATTTAGGCTTATATGCATTCCTATATGGAATGTGTTATTCGTTTTCAAATAATTGGGTGCCGAGGTCGCGCAGTGCGCAGATCCTCAGCCTTACAAAAATTAAGCCCTGCCGGACACCCGAAGGGCCGACCACGGAAGGCCCTCGCGCAGTGCAAGGCGAAGTCCAACCGTGTAACCGAGGCCAACTGGACCACCTCGAGAAACGGGCCAGGTAAGTATGATTGAGAAGGCAAGCGGCCGGGACTACCTTCATAGCTTCCATTGGAGCCGTGTTCACGCCGACGATGGTGGGTCGCCTTAGAGGGTCGCAATAAGACAAGGAGCGTCTCCAATACGTGCCCTAGACGCCCCTCAGCGCGCAACATCATCAATAATAATAATTGCATTACATATCAAAACACCCAATACGTTCGGTCTCAACGCTCAGAGCCTCACCCAACCACCCCACACTCCCCAGCCGCACCTGCCTGGCAGGCCCAATGTCTCCCCGCCTCCCCAAAGCACCCCCTAGGACTTGATAGTTATCACACTACCCTTCACACAACAATACCCGGTACTACTCCCATCTCCGTCTGCATATGGCGCCTCACCGCATCCCTTCCCCTCCCCCCCTCTGTTGGGACTCCGTTGATGCACGTATCTATATTGTTCCCCCCCCTGCTCCCCCCTGCCTGCCCACCTGCGGCCTGCTCCCCCTCCGCAGCCGCCGGTGCGCCAAGCGGGCTGTCCAGCGCCTGAGAGATCTGCTCGATCAGCAGCATGGCGCCCTCCACCTAGCGGGGAGGGTACAGAAGGGGGCCGGGAGGGCGGCGGCGGGGGGTACGGGAGGGCTTGAGCCCGCTTGAGGGGAGCGGCAAAGTGCGGGGACTAACATACAAGCGGAAGACCTGGAGGGCACGTGCAGAGGTGTTGCGGAGGGGTGCACGCAGGGGTCAGGAGCGCCTGCACGCGGCTGGTGCGGGCTGTCCGGCGGCAAAGGTAGGGGATGTGTGCCAGGGGCATGGCGACAGGAGGGTGTGGTGGTGAAGGGAAGGCATGGGTAGGCACGGGGGCAGGCCCCTCCTCCAAGCCTTGCCTCCCCTCCCCCGTCCGCCCCCTACCAGCTGAGGACGTGTTCGTGCCTTCAGCGACCCGCCACCAACCCTACAAAGGACCCTACCATACGCACTCCACAGCTCCAGCCCGGGCCTGAACTGCCCTCCCCTCCCACCCCCTCCTCTCCCGCCCCGCCCATTAGATGTTTCCTCTTTACCTCCCCTCCCCCCCCACCCCTCCTCCCTGGCCCCTCCCCACCAGCTGCAGGTCGTCGCTGCTGGTGGCCGCCGCCGCCCCCAGGTAGTCCATCAGGTGCTCCCGCAGCGCCGGCAGCCCCGCCAGCAGGCAGCTCTCCACGCCCAGCCGCGCGCTGTCCAGGCAGCGCAGCAGCGAGGAGCGCTCCTCGGACTGGGGGGGAGGGAGGGAAGAGGGGAAAAGGGGAGGGCCGAGGAGGGAAAGAAGGATACCCAATGTGTTGAAGGACAATGACGAACAAGACGACAAGGGGAGGGGGAGAGAGGGGGGGAGAGGGCGACAGGGAAGGGATGTGGAGGAGGCGCGGGTGGAGCGGAGAGGTGAGGGCCCGCAGGGGTTGCGATGAGCGCCTTTGCACAGGGTGGGGGTTGGGAAAAGCAGGGGCTGCGGGATGTCAGCTGGAGGAAGAGGAAGAGGCAGGAGTGAAGCCGTAGAGGGCAGAAGGTGGGGCAACAGGCCAGCATGTGCAGCGGAGAAGGGCATCCTCCACACATGAGTACAGAGCCGTGATGCGAGGGAGGGAAGGGAATATGGGTTGCGATGAGGGGCCGCGGGTCTAGCTGCGGCACCGCTGCTGGGTGCAGGACATGGCTGGACGACCATTGCCGCTTACCGTCAACGGTTCGCCGAAGCAGTTTCGGAGCTTGTCTGTTTCACGCAACCGCTCCATCACGCCCTCACAACTGCACTCCACGTCCCAGTCTGTTGGGCTTTCAGGAGGCGCTATCGCCCGGCAATGCCATGTCCTTCTATTGCGCCGAGAAGGTAACCGAGCCTCGAGCTCACGGCAGCGATATCGTGATGGAAAGCTGAAAGGAATGCGTTGCGTAAGTTGCATCGGATATATGGGCGACGCGCCCCGGCTATGGCAAGGATACAGCGTCGTCGGCTTCAATTGCGCAGCCATGTTGCCTCCGCCCCCTTTCCGACAAACGTAATAACGAGTAGATATAACAGTCGCTTGCAAGGGTATATACGCAGATATGATGTAATTAACTAGGGCTTCGTTGGTGTTGGTGCACTTGTCCTACCACTCGACGGTTTATCACCGGTAGTATAAGATATCGCACAACAATAAACCTAGCTAATTATCTGCCCTTTCTTACCGGGATGCATGTGTAAGAGTAACGACAACCCCGTTACTGCATGACGGTCACACCGTCCAAAGGCATGTCGATCGGGAAAGCCGTCATCTAGTACATTCGAAAGCACGTACACAGCAGCGATGCGCGACCGGAGGCGCGCTCATAAGGCATGCGCCTGATGTGTGTGTCTCCGTGTCCCATCCGCGCATAGTGATTATGCCGGTACCGCATCGTATGTTGGGTACCATACGTGGCAAACGACTCCATGCTAAAAGGAAAGGCCTCAGTTCGTGCGAGGGAACCATGGTTCGCCTCGGCTTTGACCATCGTTGACCAGATAGAGGCGACGGGCGACCAGTGTAGGTGCCCAGGCCGTCCCTCTCCTTCGTACCGCAATGGAGATATCTCTCCCCGGTACGACACACATCACCGGATGCATGCGGTTCTAACCTCCGAGCTACAGGAGTACGGCCGTTCTCTCCTGTCTACCAGCTGAACATGATGTCGACGCTGAATCGTCGTGGATGAAGCATCCACGTAAGTGCGGGTTAGTTAGGCAGCCCACTAAGGACATGTGTATCATGCCTGAGTGAGCATGGGCCGTGCTTGTAGCGCTCTGGTATGTACTGCAGCAACACTGGCAGCAACTGGGCGGCCTGTGAGCGTCCTAGAACGAGAGATACAAGGAAATGGAAGGAGTCAGTTTGCCCCCCTCTGTGGAACCCAGCCGAAACTTGACATGCAAGGGCGGGCCTGTGGGGTCATCCTAACCGTGCAGACACGGGAAGTTGGTAAAGTGGGTGTTTCGTGTGTTGCGTATAAGCCGGTAGAACACATACCGGTAGCCTTACTGTCTAGCCTCCAGCCAACACCGCCGCAACCGCCATCATAACCTGCCACGTGTTTGACAGCTGCCCAGTGTTTTGTCCTAGGCCCATCTGTGTTGCTCGGTTATCCCCCAGCCGCGTTGTGCACACAGCACACATATCATCTAATGCCCGGCACACGGTGCTGACCCGGCAGCACGTCACTTTACGCATGACTAGCCAGAAGTCTGGAGGTGTTCTTCCCTCTTTACTCCTTACTCGTAGTTGCTAACGCTAGAGTGTGCGCCGTCGGCTGGCCGGGACAGGCGGATGGCTTGGGATGTAGCCTTGGAGGATACTGGAAATGGGTCGGGGAACTGGTGTGGATGTCTTCATGGTAATTGCATCAGATGCTTTCGGAGCGCTAGTTTGGTTGGGTGGGTTAAAACCCATGGTTAGGGTCGCAAGCACTTCTCGGGTGCGCCATCAGGATGAACAGCCCAACTGCGGGCCTGATCCTTAATTCTGAGATTGATCGCATTCTATGAGAAAGGTGTCGGTATCTCGGAATGCGTTGCAATGTCGGCCAACCCTCGTACATTAGGCACGGTTGGTTTGTCATAAACACTCTACGAAGCCCTTCTCAACCAGTTATCCGCATACTCCTGTTCCGTCATTAACCATGTCTAAGCCTGTGATTCACTACTTCCCCATTCGGGGTCGGGCTGAGGTCCTCCGCCTCGCCATCGTGGCTGGTGGTGACGACTTTGACACCGTTGATGTGAACTACCAGGAGATGAAGAGTGATCGGGAGAAGTACCCGTTCGGCCAGTGCCCTAGGTACGCCTACTTTGCTAGATTACCCAATCCTGCGCGCCATTGACATTTGGCGTCCGCCCATCGCGCTTAATGTGGACTCAGGCTTGTGGATGGCGACATTGATCTTGTCCAGTCCAACACAATTGCCCGGTAAGCGCAATGAGCTATCGCACTTATGCAAGCATGTGCGCAACGTTGTGCACATTTGTTTCGCAGCTCCCGTTTCCATTTCCTAGCCAGCCGCTCCGTATATCTACTAGCTCTGTGTTGCATTTGCAGGTACTTGGCCCGCAAGTATAACCTTCAGGGCAAGGATGAGAAGGAGATGTGCGCTGTGGACATGATTGTGGAGGGCGTCGAGTCGCTGCGTGTAAAGTACGTCAGTCCGCATAGCTGGGGTTGTCAGCGTCGCTGTCGAATGCGCTAGCTGGATTTATCAGGAGCCCTCGAGCTTCCGCACGTTCCTAGAACCCTGTACCGCACGGGACTTAGGACCACGCACAGGACCTAGAAGCCTGTAGCTCACGCACTGCTGTTTGCAGCCACCGGCCTCATCGCGGGACGCTGGCATCTGCCAACACCATGACCCCCTGGCCCCTGCCTCCACTCCACTACCTGCCCTCCTATCGCCCGCACGCACCTTGGCTGCTTGCTCACGTCGTTCTTACCTTCGTAATGCCCGCTCCGAGACTCACCAACCCGCCCCCCTGCAACCCTGCCTGCTGCCCTCTCCTGTGCTGTCCCTCCCCCTCTCCACCTCCACCCGCCCATCCTCCACCACCGCTGTCATCCCTCCTCTGCCGGCCACCAACCGGCCTCCTGCGCACCGCCGACCAACGAACGCGCGGCTCACCCTGGGCTGCCGAACCGACCTTAACCCATGCATGCAAACGGCCTTGGTGCAGATACGTGAACCTGGTGAGTGCGGGCTGCTGCTGCCAGCATCTCGCTGGGCTGTATGGGATGGCGCACACCGCACCCGTGGTGCTGCTGGCTAGCCTGGGCTCGAAGGGGGGATGGGCTCCGAGCTACCGTGATACCGGTAGCTTCCTGAACCGGCTCTACTGCGACCCATGTATCCGCCATATGTTGACTGGGGCACCCATGAACGCGATGGCACTGGGGGTGTCCGCATCCCGCACTCACCACCAGTCACAACCTGGCAACCGCAAACATGAGCATCCTGCAGTCATCGCAGCCTCACACGGGCGGCATGCTCGTCTTTGGCCGCACCGTGTCGCACAGGCACACGCTGCCTTGCCAGCGGGCGTCTGGCACCGCCTCTCGTCAGTCAGCACACTCCTCCCCTCACGCTTCCACCCCCGGCGCCGCCTCCGCGCGTGTACCCTCCTCCCCGCCTCCAACGCCGCCTCTGCTCCCCTTGTTCCGCCCTGCCCCCCTGTAGATCTACAATGACAAGCTGGTGGGTCCTGAAGGCCCACCCGCCGGGGGCTGCAGGGGGCGTGTGGGGCTCCGTGTGTGGAGTACGTGGTGAAATAGGAGAAGAATACCGGGCTATGGGATGTGGGACTCCGTGTGTGTACTTAGGGTTTTAGGGTGAAAGAGGAGAAGAAAGAGTACCGGGCTATAGGGCGTGTGGGGCTCCGTGTGTCCGACGTGTGCAGTCCCTCGCACTGCCGGACAACAACGCCGCCTGCCGGGGAGCAGGGCGGTGATGAGCGAGGGAGGTGTTGTGGGGTGCAGGGGCAGAGGGTACGAGGGGGCAGCGTGCAGCACCAAGGTGCGCTGGAGCATGCTGCGCGCTAGGTCCGCTGCCCGCCGCCCTGCCGTTCCCAACCACCAGCCCAACCACCCAACCCCCTGCAGGAGGAGGCCGCCAAGGAAACGTACTGGAAGACCTACTTTGACAGGAGCAGCACGGAGGGCCGCAACGGTAGGGAGGGGGAGTCGGGGGGTTGGGAGGGGAGCTGGGGCAACAACCGGCAGCTGGTGTGGGGTGCGGGAGTCGCGTCCTTGCGCACTGCGCCAGGACTGTACGGTACTTCCCGCCATGCCTCCTCCTTCCCTAGTGACACTCTTACCTTCCCTACCCCGCCATTCTCCTCCCTCCCCCTCAAGGCCTCAACCCTCCTTTCTTCTTTTCCACCTCCCTGCCCCCCTCCCTGCCTCGCCCCCTCCCCCAGGCGGCGCCCACTTCCAGTACCTGGCCAACTTCCTGTCCAAGAACCCCGGCCCCTTCTGCGTGGGCGACTCGCTCACCCTGGCCGACCTGTGCGTGTGGGAGATCCTGGACCTGCATCTGCGCATCTTCGGGGAGCAGATCAAGGAGGCGGTGAGGAAGGGGGAGGGGGAGGAGGGAGGAGGGAAGGGAGGGCGGGCAGGCGGTGTGTTGCGGGAGGAGGGGGAGGGGGAGGAGAAGGTGAAAAGAGGGGAGTACTCAAGTGGACCGTTGGTGCTGTGCCGCCTTCAGCTCACGGGTTGCCACTCCCGTATCATTGTCACTAGCTCGGTCCGATCCCCCTTTCCGCTGCTGCACTTCCCTGCACTCCTCTCTTTACTTATGTGTTATCCCCCCCCCGCTGCCCCCCTCCCCGCCCCGCTGCCCTGTCCCCCGCCCCGCTGCAGTACCCCGAGCTGGTGTCCTTCCACGAGCACATCGCGGGACTGCCGGGCATCAAGGAGTACCTGGGGTCCGCCAAGCGCCTGGCCGCATGCAACGCGAACAACCTGGGCTAGATGACGACGGGGAGGGGCTAGCACTAACTCGTTCAGGGCACGGGGGTCGGGGTTCCTGACTGGGTTGGATCCTGCAGGTGAAGGGGTGTCCTGGTAGAGGGGGTGCGGCGCGTGATGTCTGGAGTCTGGGATGGGTGTAGGTGTGCTTTGCCAGCGGTTGGGTACTGTGGTGTGGAGCTGTTAGCACGTGGGTGGGTCGCAATGGGTGGCTGCGGGATTGCTTGGCCTTGACAGGTAGTGACTGCGCAGGATGTGACGGCGCTGAGTGCGTGTTGAGGAGTGCGTGCGGGAGGTAAGGGAGGAGAACCGCAGGAGGTGAAAGGAAGAGGCAAAGTTGGGTGGCGTGGTATTGGCTGGGATGCATAGCCGGAATGGTAATGGATGGGTGCATAGCCGGGATTACCACCATCTCAATGGATTCGCTTAAACATGGCTGTAACATCTTACCAGCATGGCTTCACTACCATGAACCTCCATCCGAAGGAGCAACATCCAGGTCCAGTGAGCAAGCGACAGAAGCGAACCGCTTAATGAAAATGCGTTGCAGCTCTTCTTTGTTATCAGAAGCCTGCGCAATGTTTCCTGGAGTCCGTGCCACTTTCGGCAAGTAGATGAGCGGTTGCTTAAGGACACATTCCTGAGCTGGAACTGTGCTTAATTATGCAAACGAGATTTCGTATTAACAAGACCCTACAGAGCCACAGAGAGCAGGTGCCTGCTAGCCTGGTAAGGCCGTCCGGCACTAGCTCTAGGGCCTTACCAGTCAACAAAGCTCGACCCACCGACTCGACCTTTAGTTCTTTATTAAATGGTACATATGTTGGTTCGACATGCATTCTATACACTATTAAACTACTCTTAGGCGTTCCCTTTGCGAGATCAAGTGACCGCTGAACATAAGTGCATATCCAACGCTGGCACACTTAGGACTTAGTTCAACTACTTTGGGAATATGTATTCCTTCGCTATACGTCTTCGTTGCACGCTGCGGCGCTTGTCAAGGCAGCAGCTTCGTCAACGGTTGCAGCAGCAAAGCTTGTGCAAGCCCCTGGGCACAGTTGCAGCTTCGAGCTCAGCAGCGTTATAGCTTCTTTCCCTAGTAACCAAAGACATATATTAGTCGCCGAAGAATCCGTGACCCAACTGTCGCAGTTGTTTGGGGACCTCAATGACCACTTTGATACCGAAAGGGCCAGGGCTTACAAGCCCCCAACCTGCCCGAATCTCTGTGTCAGATACAACGGCAAAAAAGGATGGAATGCGAAGGAGCGGGCAATCCCAGATGATAGAGAACACCCAGTTTGGCGAAGGGTCGGATGCCAACAATGTCCACCTGCAAGAGCTCCAGACGCAGCTTCAGAACGTCATCCGGCTTCTGCGCGTCAGCCAGGCAAGTGTGGTATTTAGTCGACTACGCTCTGCCGTGCCTCAACGGAAGCAAGGCAGCTATGACACAACCAACTCCCTTCCTCTCCGAACTTACCCATTAGTCCCACCCTTCAATCCGCGCTCCAGGAGCGCACTGTGCGCATTCAGAGGGATGCCGAGGCCAAGGATGAGACCATCGCACATTTGACTGAGCAGCTCAGGGTAAGTATGGTAGCGGCGAAGCCCCATGGAAGCTGTTGTTACCCTCTTCGTACTCTAGCTGCTGCCATCTCCCGGCTATGCACCCGTTGACCAGCGGTGTCTCGACATGCTTCCATACATTGACCAAGGACTGCACCAGCTGCTCTTCTCCTACATGCGCCTCTTCTGGCTTCCTGCCTTGCAGGTGGTCCTGTCCGCCTCGCGCAGCCGCCGCACCACTCGCAGCGCAGTGGGGGAGCCAGTGTCTTCTCCGCTGGAGCTCTCCCATGAGGAGCTGCCGGCCCTCTGCCAGGCCCTGGACTCCCGCTTCCTGCGCGCCGGCACCTGCTCCTCCTCCTCGGCGGCTGTCGCGGCAGACGAGGAGCAGCAGCTCTCGGAGCGCAGCCGCCTGAATGCGGTGGCAGAAGAGGAGGAGGCGGCAGCGGAGGCGGCCGGACAGCTGATCAGCAGCGCTAGAAGGAGGTCCTCCGTTCGGCGCATTCCGCTGCCGCCCGTTTGTGCCAACGGTATGATGGTGGGAGATGTGAGCTCGCCTGCTAGGCGTATTTCAGGTGCAGCAGCTGCGGGCTTTGACAGTCCACGGTCGCCCGCGGCGACTGGTACCATGATGGGGGCGCACGCGTACACCCCGTCGCTCGTCATGAACCCCACCTTCTTCAATGACGGCGCCTCTATGAACAGTAGCGGCACGCTTGGCAGCGAGGGGCGCGCTGGCGTCAGCTTTGGAGGTGCTAGTGGCCTCACTCCACGCGAAGGGGCGAATGGAACAGTTATCCGCAACCTACTCTTCGATGACGCGGGTAGTACCAAGGTACGCAATCCTTGCAGTGACGTCCATGCTCTTCAACTTATTAGATGCGGCCCGTCAAACCGGTCGTTGGAACCTACCACCCAGACGTGCTTCTTGCGCCAATTACCGTTAGAATTCAACCCTCGACTCCACGGCCCAATACACACGGCACAATTATTTGTCACGCCTGTAAACCACGGTCTTCATCCGTTCCCCTGCACTCCCTCCCTCTTCGTGCTCGCAGGGCTCCTCCGTGTACAACGGCGAGACCGCCCGGACCCTGCCCGACAGTCGCCAGCTGCAGCAGCAGCTGGAGCAGCTGCGGACCGAGCTGTCCGCCGCGGTGCAGTCCGCCTCGCTGGCCGCCGCCAAGGAGGCGGAGCTGGCGCTGGACCTGCAGGTGCTGCGGGCCGGCAAGCTGGCGGCGCAGGCGCACCAGGAGCAGGCGGCGGCGGCGCACGAGCAGGCGGCGGCGCGTGTGCGGGAGCTGGAGGCGGCCAACCAGCAGCTGGCGGCGCAGGTGCGGGAGCTCGCCAACCAGCAGGCGACGGCGCGGGGCTGCAGCGAAATCGAGGCCGGTGCTGCAAGCCCTGCCGCTAGGCGTCCCAGCTCCAGGACTAGCGCAACAACGCCACGCAAGGTTACGGCTGCTGACGCCTCCTCGCCTCTACCGCTGCCGGACTTCGTGTCCGCAGCGCTGGAGCGCTACGTGGGGGCGCTCCGCAGCTCGGAGGGCTGCAGCCTGCAGGAGCGCCTGACTGCTTCCGCGGTGGAGCTGGACTGCCTGCGCAAGCTGCTGCAGGACACCGCTGCGGAGGCCGCCGCCACCACCCAGCAGGCGGCGGTGAGCGAGGCGGCGCGGGCGCGGCTGGAGGCCAGTCTGGCGGAGCAGCGTGCGGCGCTGGAGCGCGCGTCGGAGCGCGCTGCGGGTGCTGCGGTGGCGGCTGCGGCTGCCGAGGCGGCCCGGGCGGAGCTGGCGGCGGAGCTGCGGCTGCTGGCGGAGCAGCGGGCAAGCCTGGAGGACCAGCTGGGGCCGCATCACCAGCAGCTGCTGCAGAACGTACGGCGCGCGTCGGAGGCGCGGCAGCAGGCGCATGCGGAGCTGGATGAGGCGCGAGCGACACAGGACCAGCTGGCTCGGCAGCTGCATGAGCTGCTGGTGCAGGGGGCGCAGCAGGCGCCGGAGGTGCAGGGCGAGCTGGATGGCTGGAGGGAGCGCGTGGGAAACCTCGAGTGGCACCTGGAGGTAAGGGAGCACTGGTGTGTTGGGCTGGTTGGGTGCGGTAGCAGTTTGACAAGAGTAGCGGGGCATTCAGTATGAGTACATCTTGAACACCTTATTGGCACACTGCAAGCGTGTCTGCCCTCCTTTACATGTGCCTGCAGCAAATCGAGGAGTGGCATGCGGACGCGGAGCGGGAGCTCGTCGAGGCAACACGCGCAAACGAGCAACTGGAGGTGGGCAGCGACTGATGTTGTCTTTTTTCTTGTGCGGGAGAAGATCTCCAGATCCTGATTTAGCTCGAGCAGACCATCAAAAGGGTTTCTGCTGATGATCGCATAGCGGCGCCATGCGTCATGCTTGAGCTGAAGGATCGGGTAACGTCGGTCCAAGACCATCCATAGCATACGAGTCCACTTGGAAGCGCCCTCAGGGATAATAACCAGTCGCCCGCGTCTCCTCCCCGTCCCCACAGGCGGAGCTCGCGCGCACCTCCGCTGCTGAGGAGGAGCTGCAGCGCAGGCTTCAGGTCGCGGAGGAGGAGGCGCAAGAGCTGGTGCGGCAGGCGCAGGAGCAGGAGGTGCGGCTGGTGGACGCGGAGCGCAGCCTGGGCGCTGCTCAAGCAGGCTACATAACGCTGATGGTAAGACAGCGTTCGAACTTGCGTTCTGGGTATCCGCTAACAGGTTGCTGGGATGCTGACGCAAGCTGGCCACCCAGGGCCTCGTTCCTCAAGCCACCCTCACGCACGCTCCGCCTCGCTCACTGTTCAGAACCCTCTTCCTCAGGACCAGGTTCGCCATGCGTACTCCGGTCCACATGCGAGCTCGCCGGCCGGTGTCCCAGGTCGCCCGACCGACTTGGCCTCCATGCAGCAGCAGCTGTCAGGCGTGCTGGCCGCCAAGGCGACAGCAGATCGGGAGCTGGCGGTCGCCCGGGAGGAGCGCGCGGCGCTGTCTCTGCAGCACGCCGAGCTGAAGGGCGCCAAGGCGGCGGTGGAGGACCAGCTCGCAGCTGCCAGCGCCTCCGCGGCGGCCCTCTCGGAGCAGCTGCAGCACCTGTCCGCCTGGCACCGCCAGCTGGAGTCGCGGCTGGCCGAGCTGTCCGCTGCACACGAGGAGCTGCAGCGGCGGCACGAGGAGCTGCAGCGGCGGCACGAGGAGCTGCTGGCGGCCAAGGAGCGCGCGGACAGGCAGCTGGCGGAGGCGGTGGGCGCGGTGGCGGAGCAGCGCAGCAGCCTGGAGCAGCAGGCGGCGGAGCTGGCGGGTATCGTGCGTGAGCATGGCGACATTGCAAAGGCCAAGGACGAGATTGAGGCCCAGCTGTACGCTGCCTCGGGAGAGCTGTCGGCTCTGTCTGCGCGGCTGGCGGCTGCCACGGAGGAGGTGGGCTTGCTGGCTGCAGCCAAAGCGGAGGTGGACCACCAGCTGGCCGACATGGAGGTGGAGAAGATGGGCGTGGAGCACCAGCTGGCAGAAGCACTGGAGGCGAAGATGGAGCTGGAGCGGCAGCTGGCGGAGGCGGTGACGGAGAAGTCGCGGCTGGAGCTGCAGCTGGCCGGCGCGTTTGGCAGCAAGTCGGGCTTGGAGAAGCAGCTGGCGGAGGCGTTGGAAGCGAAGATTGGTTTTGAGCGGCAACTGGCAGAAGCCCTGGAGTCCAGGGCTGGACTTGAGCAGCAGCTGTCGGGCATGCTGGAAGCCAGGCTGGGCCTGGAGCAGCTGCTCACGGAAGCGTTGGACGGGAAATCTGCAGTTGAGCAGCAGCTGGCAGAAGTGCTGGAGTCTAAGCCGGGTCTAGAGAAGCAGCTAGAGGAGAGCTCTGCTGCGAAGGCGCTAGCAGACGAGCAGCTGGATGCCCTGCATGCCGCCGAGGCCGCCCTGCAGCAACAGCTGGTGCAGCTGCAGGCGGCTGCCGAGCAGGAGCGCCTCGCCTCCGCCGACACCGTTGCAGCCATCGAGGCGAGGCTGGCTGCGGCGGTGGCGGAGAAGGGCGAGCTGGAGGCCCAGCTGGCGACGGCGGCGGCCGCTCAAGCGGAGGCTCACAGCCAGCTGGAAAGTCTGGCAGCGCAGAAGGCCGGACTACAAGAGCAGCTGGACGCGACTCAGGAGGTGCGGGCACAGCTGGAAGGGCAGTTGGGAGCTGCCAGGGAGCAGCACAGCAGCGAGGTTAGCGCTCTGACAGAGCGGCTGGCGGCGGCGGCTGGCCTGCAGTCCCAGCTGGAGGCCGAGCTAGCGGAGTTCCGCAGCGCCGCCGCCGAGTTGGGGGCGCGGCTGGCCGCTGCGGAGGCCGCCGGGGCCGCCCTGGAGGTGCAGCTCAGGGAGGCCGAGGCGGCGCGGGAGGGCGTGGAGGCGGAGCTGGCCAGGGCGCGGGCCGCAGCGGCGGCACTGGAATCCCACAGCACAGTTACCGAGGAGGAAGCTGAGACCAGTCGCCAGCGGCTCATGCAGGCGGAGGCGGCGCGGGCGCAGCTGGAGGAGCAGCTGCAGGCGGCGGAGATGAGCCGCGCCGCGCTGCAGGAGCAGCTGCGCCAGGTCGGCACTGCGCGTGATGCGTTGGAGGAGGAATTGCACAAGGCGAATGGGGCTTGTACCTTCCTTGAGTCGGAGCTGAAGGAGGCCCAGGAGGCGCGAGCGGCGGCGGCCGCGGAGCTTGAGGCCTTACAGGCTGGCACTGCTGAACTAGAGCAGGAGCTGGACAGGGCCAGAAGTGACTGCGGAGAGCTTGCAACGCGCCTGGAGGAGGCGATTGAAGCCCGGGCTGCGCAGGAGCGACAGCTGCATGAGGCATGGGAACGGGAGGGAGAGGTGCTGCGGGTGCTAGGAGCCAAGGTGGAAGAGGTGAAGGTCCTGGAGCGTGAGCTAGGTGCCAGGGGCGGTAGCCTCTCCGAGCTGGAGGGCGAGTTGGAGGCCCTCAGTGCCTCGCGGCAGGTTCTGGAGCAGCAGGCCTGCGAGGAGGCCGAGCTGCGGGCGGCACTGGAGGCTCAGCTAGCGGCCGCGCGGTCGCAGGTGCAGGCGCTGATCGTGTGCAGTGTGGAGCTGGGTCGGGAGGGCCGGCAGCGGGAGGCGGCGCTGCGGTCCGCGCAGGAAGCAGCGGCAGCAGCTGGCGGGGAGGCTGCGCGGCTGCAGGCCGAGCTGGCGGAGGCGGTGGAGCGGCAGCGGGTGCTGCAGGCCTTCGCGGAGCAGTGCAGCGCGGATGCGGCGGCCATGGCGGAGCAGCTGGCTGGCGCTAGGGATGGGCTGGTGGGTAAGGAAGCGGCGGCCGCGGCGCGGGAGGCGGCGTTGAGGCAGGAGGTGGAGGAGAATGCTGCGGAGGTGGCTGCTGGTCGTGGCCGTGTGTCGGAGCTGGAGTCCCGGCTGCATGCGGCTGAGGGCGAGTGTGCGGCGGCGCAGGAGCAGCTGGAGGCGCTCAACCAGCAGCTGGCGGCGGTGGCTAGCGTACTTGAGGAGTACGGCATGCCGCTGTCCGAAGGGTTCGGCGATAGGTAAGCTGGGTACAGTAAAGAGAGGCGGGTGAGACGTAGACATGACGGATGGGCACATGGATGACTTGTTGATTGGTTCTCTGATGTCGCCTACTGGCACCGGTTTCGCTTTATCACATGAGGGTGGCATGCCTCCACAGGGAATCAGCCCGACCGCTAGCGGAGCTGGATGAGACAGATCCTTCCAGCGGCTTACCCGCTTTTGGACAGCCCCCGCGTGCCGGCATCGCGGGTGCGGTTGCTGGCATGCGCGACACTCTGATCCAGCGGTCCGTGGCGGCGGAGCAGGCAGCTGCGGCCAGCGAGCTGGAGCTGGAGGCTGTGCGGCAGCGCCTGCAGGTCAGTGGGGGAAAGCTACCGGTATTAGGACGGTATTGCATGGCATATGGATTACGGACGGCGCCTTTGGTTGGGTCTTGGGTGTCTGATGGGCGTCTTATGTGTCCCCAAAGCCTTGCCTATGCGTACAGCAGTTAATGATCACTGGTCCTGCAAACTACTCTCTTCTTGCCATGCCCGGTCTCCCAGGTGCGCATCGACGACGCGGAGGCTCGGGCCAAGAAGTTCCAGAACCAGTTCGAGGATTACAAGCTCATCGTCCACAAGCGCTGCCAGGCGGCGGAAGCAGAGAGGGACACCGCCCTCACAGCCGCACAACGCGCGGAGGCTGAGCGCGCCGTCGCAGCGGCCGTCGCACAGCGTGCAGAAGCAGAACGCAACGCCGCCGTTGCGGCCACCCAGCATGCGGAGTCCGAGCGTGATGCTGCCGTGGAGGCATTGCAGCATGCAGAATGCGAGCGCGATGCTGCCTTTGCAACCGCCCAGCAAGCTACGAAGGAGCGAGATGCCGCCACTGCGGCTGCCCAACGCACCACGGCGGAGCTGGATGCCTCGCGGCTGGCCCTGACTGCCGCCACCGCCGAAGCAGCCGCTCAACGCAGCCGTCTGGCTGCAGTGGAGGCGGAGCTGGGCCGTGTTGAGGCGCGCATGTCGGAGCTGCAGGCGGCCATTGGGGCCTCGGAGGCGCAGGCGGAGCAGCTGAGGGCCGAGTTGGCGGAGCGGGGGGCGCAGCTGCAGGCGGAGGAGGCGGCCAGGGAGGCGGCGGAGCAGCGGGTGCTCGCGGCCCGCCAGGAGACGCAAGCGCAGGCGGAGGTGGCGGCGGCGCGGGAGCGGCAGCTGGCAGATGTACGGCAGGCGCTGGAGAAGGCTCGCGGAGAGCTGGCGGCGGCAGCCGCGCAGCTGGCAGCAGCCGCGGCGGAGGCGGAGGTTCTGCGGGCGGAGCGTGATAAGTCGGTGAAATCGCTAGCGCTGGCCACCAGCGCCCAGCGAGGGACGGAGCAGCGCCTGGCACAGGTGCAGTCAGCGCTGGATGCTACGAGGGCCGAGCTCATGCTGTTGTCGAGGCAGCTGGAGGCCGCACGGGAGAGTGTAACGACGGCGCGGCAGGAACGCGATGCGGCGGCGGCTAGGGTGTTGGAGGTGGAGGCGGAGCTGAGGGACGCCGTCTGGCGGCTGCAGGCGGCGCAGGAAGAGGCGGCGGAGGCTGCTGCGGAGGCGGCCAGGGCGCATGAGGCAGCGGAGGAGGCTGCACGGGATCAGGCGCAGCTGGTGGCAAAGGGAGCTGAGAGCTATCGAGCGGTTACGACTGAGCTCGAGGCAGCGCGGAGCGAGCTGTCGGAGGCTCGGACGCAGCGTGACACGGCGTTGCAGCAGCTGGAAGCCGTGCGGGAGGTGCTGGCTGTGGGCGAGGAGATGGAGGGAGACGGGGAGGAAGAGGAGGAGGAGGGCGGCCACCCCGGTCACCAGCGCGCCAGCAACGGCAGCATCAGCAACGGCAGTAGCGGTAACGGTAACAGTATCATCTCCGCTTCCGCGCTCGCTGCGGCTCGCAGGCGGCGGCCCACAGCTGCTGCTGCGCTGGTGGCGGCGGCGGCGCGAATCGCGGCTCGGGTGGCGTCCATGAGCCAGTCCGGGGCCAGGGTGCGGGTGCGGCGCTCCATCAGTGGATCGCATGGTCGGTCTCCGGGGCGGAGGAGCTCCTCTACCGGCCAATCCGTGACGGCACCCGGCGCCGCTGAGGGTGCGGCAGCAGCAGCTCCGGAAGGCGCTGTGGAGCCCCGCAGCAGGAGCTACAGTGCCCTGGACGATCCGCAGCTGAACCTGCCGCAGCTGCTCATCCCTTGGAAGTCGCAACACAGCCAGCCGAACACCTCCGGGCGACCCACTGGAGCGGCTGGTGCAGTAGCTGTGGATGGGAACCTGGCTGACGCAGGAGAAGCTTCTGCGGCTGCGGGAGGCTCCACTGCTGCCGCTTTGCTGCCCGCCGCGCATGCTGACAACGGAACAGGCGCTAATGGGGAGCACCAGGTTGGCGCCAGTGCCGCAGTGGGTTCGAGTATGGGTGGGTTCGCGCATGTAGCAGCACATGGAAGCGGGGGTGCACCTGAGCCGGCAACACCTGCGGCCCCAGGAACCCCAACAGCCGGCGCTACCGGTGCCGCTCCTGCCGCGCCAGCAGCAGCCTCCACGGCGGGCCCGAGCGGCAGCCCCCGCAGTGCGCTGCAGCAGCGGTTGAGCGACGAGGCTGCACTGCTGCGGTGGGAGGTGGTGGCGGACAGCAGCCGCGTGAGGGAGCTGCAGGACAGGCGGGCGGCGGGAGGTGAGGGGGGGGTGGCATTTGGTCATGTGTGATTCATATGGAGATTACAGGATTCCAACAGTTACGCATGCCAGCTTTCTACGCTTGCTATGGGGAGGAACAAGAGTTGACATAATAGAAGTAGGGACGTCGAGCTCAAGTCTACTGCACAACGCCTTCATCTGCCATGTCGCTTTCAAAAACATTCAGCCTCGTCTCTCACGCGGGCGCATGTCTCTAACGCCAGCCCCCACCCTATCCCGCTGCCCTGCCCTCCCCTCCACCTTCCCCCCGCTGCAGTGCTGCTGAGCCACACAGAAGCCACCGAGATCGACTCCCTGGCGGAGCGGCTGGCCTCCCACCGAGTGCGCATCTCCAACATCATGAGCACCGTCAAGGCCGCGCAGCAGCAACACCAGCACAACCACAACCACCACCAGCAGCAGCAAGGGGGTCATCAGGGCCAGCCGGGCAGCAAGCACGGTGCTGGCGGGCACTCCGGTGCGGCGGCTCCTGACACCGAGCCCAGCTTCGGCCCCATTCCACCTGCGGACGCTCCCGTCCACTCCCATTTCCAACTGCACCTGCATTCACCCGCCCATCCGCAGTACCACAGCAGGTCGCAGGCATCCACACACCACCTGCTCATGCACAACAGCGCTCCTGCTACTGCTGCTGCTTGGCCTACCACGCTGGTCGCCGCACCCAAGGCCCCGGCAGCTGCCACTACTGGGCCCACCGCGTCCCCGCGCAAACAAGACCTCGCATCTATACCCGCAGCAGCGGCGGTAGCAGTATCATCGACCATGCCTACTGTATGGGGCCAGGAGGCGGCGGCTGCTGCGCTGCGCTCCCCTGGCAGGTCCCCCAACATCCCCGAGGGCAGCGTCAGCCCCCGCGCCACCTCCCCCTCGGCTCTGTCCCGGAGCGCAAGCGCCGGAGCCAGTCTGGGCGCCAGTCCTTGGTACCCCCCCGGCTCCTCCCCCGCGCGTCCACCCGCGTCCTCCTCGTCTTCCGCTCGGCCGCACAGCCCCGGCCGTAACGACGTCCGGCTGGCCTCTCCCTCCCCACGGGGCGGCAGCATCCATGCGCGAGTGGCGGACGCCTCCCCAGGCCGAGCGACGACGGTGCCGGGGGTAACGAGGGGGCCAACAGGTGATGGAAGCAGCAGCAGCAGCGCAGCCTCTCCCCGACCCGTTCAGACTGCACGTGGGGACTACGCGGGCTCGAGTGGTGGGGTGGCTACTGGTGTTGCGGGTGCCTTGCAATGGCAGCAGCAGCCGCAGCAACAGCAGCAACAGCAACCTCCGCCACCATCTCCGCGACCGCCGACTTCCACTCGCTACCGTACTCCGTACCTGACAATGCTCACCACAATGGCACAGAACAACCAGCAGGCAGCGGGGGTCGCCGGAGCTAGTAACGGCCCCGCGCCCATGCCCACGCGCAGGGGCGGTGGCGGTGGCGGCGCCGCTAACAGCGCTGGTAACGGGAATTCCGCTGCGGTGGCTGCCCTGGTATCCCCGCCGCGTCACCCGTACCATGCGCAGTACCAGGTTCAACCGCTGCAGTACACGCCCGGCGGCAAGGAGGCTGCAGCCGACAAGGCGGGGACCCTGAGGCCTGCGGCGTCACTGGCTTTTCTCGGGTTCGCGGCGTCGGTTGGGGGCATGGGAGGGAACGGCGGCAGCGGCGCTGGTGAAGGAGCGTAGGGAGGGCACGTGTGCATGCCTTCGGGTGCTGGTCGGGGTTACAACGTTGATGGTTGAGTGGTTGTAGGGCACACGGACCCTGTACCTTCTTGAGTTCTGACCCCCATATGAGGTTAACTTGTTAGGAATTGAAGGATGTCGGCATGCGCCGCGAGCGTTACACCTGTGCCATCATAGGAACATATCCTCCGTGATACTTACACAGTACAAAATTTTCACAGTGCCAAGCGCCGATTCATCATTTGTGTACGATACTACGGACTGTTCATCAGAAGCCGCTGGCGCTGCGCGCGATCCAGGCGTTTCTAGGGTTGATGTTGGAAGCATCGTTGCCAGATAGGGCCAGAGGTTGTTTTGTGGATACGTGTACGAGTTGTGAGATGGCTTGCGATGACCGCCATGCGTGCGGGCATTGAAACCCGCAGTCGGGTTCAGTTGTTGGCGCTCCGGGGACGGGGCGTGTGTCCCAATGCTGGCTTCATGGACGCACTAGCCGCCAGCGTTGTACCGGTATATACACGGCAGTGCCGTGCTCGCCCAAAGGTGAACGTTTGGGCCGTCAACGCGTTCCTTGTTCTTTTTCTGTGGTATGTTGATCTGTAACCACTTGCTATGGTGGTATGAGAAATGTAGTTGCAGCCGAACTGTGCACACCAGCCAAGACGTTTCAGCGGGCATGCTTCAGTTGGAGATTGTACGGCATAGCCAGGCATAGCTCGACATTGTAACTGAAATGAAAGCTACCGACAACCCGGCATCCGTCGCGTCTAAGCCCCTTCACCTCCGCCACTCAATTTCCAGCATGGAACAGCTATTGGTACAACGTGGCAGCATGCACTAAAGAGTACGTGGTGTTGCTCATAAACTGGGTTGGGAATGCCAGCGGGTGTTAAGGGCGGACTTCCTAGGAGAAGGGGGCAATCTTGTGAAGTTTATGCCCCACACACACATGTCTGGGACCCTCCATATGAGGCTCTATTGCAGACCGCCTTGCCGGCCAACCTCCGGCCGAAAACGCATGGCGGCATGTGCAGCGTGTAGCATTATGGGGAGATACTGTGGTGCAGCGGCAGCGCTGATATGTTGCCGCCAACGTCGCCGAGTACAAGAGAGCGTGCAAAAGCGGTCGGCTTGCCGAAGCAGTATTTGCGCCTCAGCTAACCGATGGTCAATCCCTGGTCAATCCATAGGGATTCGGAGCTCGGCTGCGGGGTAAAAAACTTTGTTCCCCAATGCCGCTTCTCAGCGGAGGCTATGCCCGAAATTGGTTGGGATGTGACACTTCACTACATTGTCGTAGGGGCCGCTGGGCAGTACCGGTAACATGGCGTGTACGGCGTAGAGTTGATTTGGTGAATCCTGAGGGAGCATCCCTTCTGTAAGTAAAGAACATACCTACTCTCTTATAACAACCATAGGAATGGCCTTTCCTATTATTAGCTTAATATTGGGCTTCGCTGACAGCAGCATCAGTTTTTGCTTTCGTAGCCATATTACCTATACTGCTGCTTTGGCCTGTATAAATAATGTCGTGGAGGAATCCAGCATCAACCGTTTTCTTTGATAACAGCATTGATAAGAGCTTGGCTATGGCATGCGGCTAAAACCTACCTTCCCGTCGACGTTTCAGCTCTGAGGCATCCCGTCCTATTCTTTCGGAGCCACCTTGGTGGTAGCTATTCATGAACGGTAAGTTTTAGCCCTACTTGGGCAGACGCTGGTTAGTTTATATCTTCTACCATGCTGGCAGGAGGGACAAAAATGACATCTTAACCAGCCTTACCTTTACAATGCTTAGAGCTGAACGTTTCAAAACTGTTGCGGTGGCGAGAACAATAGCATACGTTGGGGTTAGCGACTAGCATGTCAGCCCAGAGCTCATTAAAATCTATGATTAACCGAACCTACCTGTGACACATTTCACGTTCGTTGTGTGCAGGTTGCAGTGGAGACAACGGTTGTTGATGGAGCAGCTGTGTACCGGTACGCACAGGAGCATGTGCGCACCGGTACACAGCCGCATACATGTTCTCGTTGCCGGCCAACTTTGCCCAGCGGTAAGCGTATGGTCCGGGCGGGTCTGAGCCAACGGAATTGTATTTCAGATCTCGAATGAAGGGGTGTAAGTTTCAGCGGGGCTTGCTGTTGCCTAGGTGGGAGCGCACTTGGCAGACTATTATGCTATATTCAGTCGCTACCGGTGCCCGAGCCTTGCTTGCTGAAGTTGCGAGAATACCTAACACCCCTGTGTCCTGCTCCCGTCCCCTTATAGGTGTTCCAATGCACCCATCGTGACAAGGTCTAAGACCATGCCATCTTGCGAGGTGTTCCTCCCGCCAGCACAACCGCCTTGGCAACACTTTGCAGCCTCCGGTCGTCACGCGCTTCCTGCTCCATCGCCGTCGCCAACTTTCCGTCTATCGCACTCCGTCGGAGGGCACATGTACGGCAATCCCCACCGCTGTTCCCAGTCACGGCTGATGAGCTTAATAAGGCACGTTGTGGCGCATTACTTGGATGTCCATGGTGGTTAGAAGAGCGGAGAGATGCCAGTGGCCCGGCTTCAAAGCACTACACCGCTGAGTCAACCGCTGCGGGGCGTATTTGATCGGTGTGAAGATTGCGGGTCATTGCATTTGGTTGATTGCGGGATAACTGGTTTGTTTATGGGGGTTTACTTTTACGTGTTGACTGAAGCACACTCGTACAAACTCGTGAACCATACTGCTTACGTGGCCGACATATAGCGTACTGGTGCCTGACTGCACCCCTTGTAATAGCATAGTTGGGGGCGGACAGGGGGGTGCTTGTGGCCTACCCTCGTCACGCCAAGGAAAGTTCCCGTGCCCTGCCTCACTCGCACTCCGATGTACGGCACGACTCTCAGACGACAGAAGGCGCTCTGTATTACAGACTCCGACTGCTATTATGCTGCAGGGCGCCGCAATGCCACACAGTAGTTAACAGAGCGTGAGAACAGTCTTCCTAACAGCGTGCACGACAGCTTACCAGCTTGTACGACGCCGAACTACCTGGCTTGGACAACTCACGTCTAATAAAAGAGGTGCATGAGACCCAGCCAATTGTTTTGTACGGTATCCGAATAGTTCTGATGTAGCGTTAGGGCGCCTGAAAGCTAAGGGCAGGTAAGTTGAGCAGGGAACAGGTTGAGAGGTCGAGTAGGTAGTGAAGGTAGGTGGGGGTGGGAGAGTAGGAAAGGGAGGTGGGGGCAGGGTAGGTAGGGGGGTGGGGTAGAAGGGAGGGTGGGGTGGGGTAGGTGGGAGGTGGGAGGGTTGGGGCAGGGTGGGCGGGAGGGTGGGTGGGAGGGTGGGGCAGGGTGGGCGGGAGGGAGGGGGTGCAGGGTAGGTGGGGGGGTTGGGGCAGGGTGGGCGGGAGGGAGGGTGGGGCAGGGCGGGAGGGGGGTTGGGGCAGGGCGGGAGGGAGGGAGGGTAGGAGGGAGGGGGGGCAGGAGGGAGGGCGGCAGGGTGGGTGGGTGGGGTAGGAGGGAGGGGGCCAAGGTGGGTGGGGCAGGTGGGAGGGTGGGGCAGAAGAAATGCCAATGTGTGGTGTGATAGTGATACATCTAGCTGACAAGCCCTGTTGGGGCAGGGGGAGGGAAGGGTTGGTTAGGGTAGGAGGGAGGGGTAGGGTAGGGTAGGAAGGGGGGGGCAGGGTGGGTGGGTGGGCCAGTTTCCCTATGCATAAGAGAAAATGCATGGAGTCATCCATTCAGCGTGAATTGTTTGTAGCTGATAGGAGGACGGCCACGAAGCGCCCGCATGCAAGTGCCCTCCCAATTCATGGCAAATGAAGCTGCCCCACTGTCTTGTGAGGAAGGTCCTTATGCAGGAGATTCCAACGTTTTGTGGCGGGCGAAATGCACACGAGGTGGATACGCATGTAGTGGTGCCAGGTGCATACAGGCAGGCGCCCCAGGACTGCCCAGCAGAGGATCAAGACGACCCGAGCGTTACACCTAGGAGCAAAGGACCTTCGCTTGGAGCTGAGCCCCTGAAGAGCAGGACGAGTTCAACATATGGTTGACGAGTCTACATGCCTCGCCTCGCGTGCTCGAGGGAAAACTGCATCGAGATGTTCTTCATGGCAATCAGACCACCCACTCATATGCATGCAAACCTTCCACTATACCGGTATAAGAAACATCTAATAATCCCCCCTTCCGTTGCCGTCGGGAGCTCGATCATACGGGCCAACCGTCCGTCGCCTAGCGCCACGTTGCATCAATGCATACGGACCTAAACGCCTTCCTCCACCCCTTTCCAGCGCTCGCCATGTAGCCTAAAAGCTACCCATTCCAGCGGCGCTCCACATCTACTCCCTGCCATTTATCCGTACATCCATCCGTACATGCATGCATGAGGTTAAAAAGTCACAGCCACATACGCACCAATCTGTTTTGGTTTGCGTCGTCGAGTGCAAAGGTATGCGGTCACGACAGCAGCACGAAAGCAACGCCGATTCAGAAAAGTTTCAGCATAGTGTACCTGTAACCGGCACCAAACCAAGAGCAACCCAATGCGCAGAGCGCGAATGTGGTTGACGGCGCAGCAGCCAGACATCCCCACCCGCTCACCAAGGCCCGATCCGTCCCTAGCAGCAATAACACAATACCAGTACAATGCGACAAACAGCAGCAGCAGCAGCAGTGTTGCAGACCAACATCTAAAGATACTATACTTGCAAAACGCCGATCCTGACATAGGCCTCAGCAGATAGAAGGGCATTAGCACAACCGGCGTATTAGGCCCCCATTCCCAGTATAGCGTCCAGTATGTGTGTTTGTCAAAGACACGTACAATGGACCTGAATCTGATGTGTGCTAGACACACATAGCGGCTGCATATCAAACGCAGCACAGCCCCATATAAAGCCCCCCATCATACCTCGCTTCATGAAGACCGATTGGGGCTCACGCCTGGCGTCGCAACCAGCTGTCCCGGCAGACGACAACGACTGGGCCGGCTTAACATACACATTGTGCTAAAGGCCAACGGACTTGCTCACTAAGGAGAAACCCAACCCAGCACCAGCGTCCACACGAAGTGCAGGGTCAGATGCATGTGGCGGCATCAGCCTCAGCTTGAGTATCCCCAAGCATCAGCTGGCAGGCCCAAGCAATGATCACCAAACACCTCCGAACACAAGTCCCCAACAGGAGCGCCGCCCTTCAACAGCGCCCAGCCGCAAAGGACTGCCTGCCTGTAGCGCTGGGGACACAAACCGGGTGTGCGTTGAAGCGCAACAGTGAACCATCAACCGCTGTTTTGGGCAACAGCGCACCCTACCCTCACGCATCTCCCTCCCTACCAGCCTGCCTGCATACTCGCGTCACTACCCCTACGAGGCTATCCCTTTGCAGTACACCCCATGTCTCCCCACCCACTTCACGTTACACAACCCTTTCCTACACTGCATGCAGGCCAACCAGCCTTGCCGGTCTGCTACCCACCTACCATTGTATACTTGAGCGAAATAAGCCGGAGACCCCAGGAACACGAGCGACGAGAAGCCACAATAGGCTGTGACCCCTTTTGCGCCCCGCAAGCCGCAACCTCTCCTACCTACCAACCGCAACGCCACTGCTCCCACTGCGCACGCCGACATGCCAACCCACACCATCCTACGCGCAGCCGAGGAGACTCCCCACCACCACCATCATACACTCCCCTTTCCTGATCGACTAAGGTTGCTCGACCCACGGGTCAGTAACGCGCCCGGCCCAGGCGGCGAACAACCGCCCACCGCCAGCAGCGTGGGCGGCGGCGAACCCGCAATGACCAACGGCACATTCGAGTTCCCGCTTCCCAGCTCCCTCACCCCCAAGCTGCCGCCACCGCCCGCACCCGCATTCAGCACACGCCAGGGGCTGCCTCCTCCATGCGTGCTGGACTCCAGTCTCGTTATCAGCCTGGCGCTGTTGCTAGCACCCACGCCCATCCCCGGGAACACCGTGGCTGTGAGGCCGCTGCCTAGGCGACTAGGGGCCGCGAAGAAGGCGCCGCCGCCGTGTCTGGATCCGCCCCCCAGCATGCTGAGTGCGCCGTACTCGAGCAGTGAGCCGGTGGGAACGTTGTTTGCGCCGTTGCGGAAGGAGGCGTCCATGTTGGAGAGGGCGCCGGTGCGGGAGCGCGTGAGGATCTCGTCGTCCTCGTCAACCTCGCCCTGAGATGCAGGGAGGGAGTTGGAGGGAGGGGGGAAGGTCTAAGAAACACCAAACCACTAGTGAGGGCAACACAAAAAGGAATAGGAGGCGGCAGGGTGAAGGAGGGATGGGTGCGGAAGTGCAGATGAGGAGGGGAGCGCTGACGGAGAGGAAGGGGCGCGGGGTCATGGTAAGCAGCAACCCAGTACTACAGTGCGGTCCTATGCTGTGGTCTGGTTCCCTGTGCCTTTCAACCCCTCAAAAACACACCGCCTCCCAAACTCCCACCCTCTCCTCCCGCACCTCGCTTGTGGACTCCTCGTTCAGGTCGGGCAGGGGACCTAGGTTGGGGCCCAGTGCGTTGACGCCGCTGGGGATGTACGACAGGAAGTCCGGCTCCTCAACTTCCAGCGGCTCCGGAGCGGCCTCCAGAGCCTGTCAGCGCAAAAGGAAGGGATGCGGAACTGCTGGTTTCACGACGTTCCAAGTGGGGTTAGGACGAAGTGTGGAGCACGAGGCGAGCTGCTGCACAGCAGGTCTTGCAGCCCTGTCCCTCCCCCCTCATCGCCTCCCCGCTTCCCCCCTCCCTCACACCTCTGCTGATTGGATCCAGGGGTGTTGCAGCATGTCCGCCACACTCAGCCGCTCCAGCCGGTCTCGTGCCAGGGCCCGCTGAATGAAGTCCTTGGCGGAGTCGGACAGCAGCTTGGGCAGCCGCAACTCGCCTGCTGACAGGGGTGAGGAGGGGGACAGGGAGGGGTGAGCTAACCGTGGTGTGCACGTCAAGCTGGCGCACATCCCCGCTGCCGCCCCGCCCCGCCCCGCTGCCCGCCGCCCCGCACCTGTGAGGATGAACTGCGTGGTGTCCTCCTCCGTCATGCCCTTGAAGGGCGGCTGCCCCACCAGCATCTCGTACGTCACAGCGCCCAGAGCCCACGCGTCCGCCTGCGCGTGCGGGAGCGTGTACGTGGTGGGTGGGGGAGGTGTGGGGGTGTAAAGAGGAAACAACTAACTGACTGAGGGATAAGGTGTCAACAGGTGGGAGGGTGGGTGTGGGTGTGGACGGGAGATGGGGGAAGCAGCTTTGCAGGCGGCTCACAGGCAACATGGCGAGGAGCAAGCATTTCGTGCAAGCGCAGCGAAAGCACCACTACCGCTGTTCGTGTCCCCCCGCAGGCCGGCCCCCGGTGTCAGACCCCCGCGATGTGTGCACCCGCCCGCCCGCCCGCCCGCCCGCCCGCCCGCAGGCAGGCAGACAGGACTGGGCGGCACCTCACCTCGGGTCCGTACCCGGGCGCCGAGGGGTTGTCCTTGTTCTCCTGGGGGGTGCGTTTGAGCGGGCAGTTGAGCACCTCGGGAGCCATGTAGTCCAGCGCTGCGGGAGGCAGGGCGGAGGGAGGGAGGGAAAGAAGGGGCCGGGCTAGTTAGGAAACGGTACTTGACATACAGGAGGGAGAAGCGGTTCCTGCTTCTACCAGGCTAGTGAACCGCTACCTTGCGCAATGACCCTTTTACTGGCCCTGGGCCCCCTCTCTCCCTGTTCCCCCTGCGGTCGGCTGCGCCCCTCCCCTCCCGCGCCCCTTCTCCCCCCCTTCGCTCACTCCCTGCATTGCTGTTGGGCCGCTCCTCGCGCATGTCAATGGCCAGCCCCAGGTCCGCCAGCTTGGGTGTGCGGTCCGCCGTGAACAACACGTTCTCCGGCTTGATGTCACTGCAGGGGGAGTGGGGGGGGAGGCACCAGGGTAGAGATGACGAGAAACTGACGAGGCAACCAACGAGCTGTAACGAGCTGGTTACCGGGTGGGGGTAATAGGGTAACAGGGCATGGGCATTCCGCACCGGGTTGGGAGGTGGTGGAGAGAGTAGAGCAGGCAGGTTAACTACACCACTCCGGGTTGGGAAGTTGCCTCCGACTCTGAACTCTGCTCAAGGCATGACCAGGGCGCTTGGTCTTGGTTTTCTCCTCCATTGCTCCTAACGCCCCCCATCCACCATTTCCCCCATTTATTGCGCTTCCCGTCCCTGCGTCCCTGCTTGCCCCCCTGCACGCCCACCACCCTCCAGCCACACAGCCAGCCCCACCCTGCAGCCCCTCCCCTCACCGGTGCAGTATGCCCTTGCTGTGCAGATGGTGCACCGCGGACAGCAGCGGCACCGCTACCAGCTTCAGGAAGGCGGTCTGGAGGTGGGTCGGGTGAGATGGGGTGGGGTGGGGGAAAATAAATGAGAAGTGCAGCAACCAAGTCCCAATCCCATGTCACGACTGGGGTGGGGTGGGGGGCAGGCGGGTGGGGCCAGGCGGAGTCAACAAGGACTAACCGTTCATACACAGGTTCAAAAAGGGCGGGATTGATGAAGCATTACATCGCAAGCTCTGCCGGTTTGGCAAGGGGTGCATGGAGGTGCCCGGATTGTCGAGAGCATGTGCGGCGGCGGCCCCATTAAGCAGCAGCAGCTGATGCTGGGCGCCTACCCTGGCGTCATGGCAACGCCCTGATTGCGCCCCCCCTCGGTCCGCTCCCTCCATGCAAGCCCCCCCTTTCCACTTTGTTTTATGGCGCCCTGTCGTCTCCTATACCCAGTGCTTTACCCTAACCTATGGTTTCCATATGGTATGATATGGTCATTAACCCCCCGCTCGGTCCAAGCCCCCTCCATGCACGCCCCCTCCAACCTCCCACCCCCCCGATACCTCGGGTATCTTGCCTCCGTACTTGAACAGCAGCCCAAGCAGGTCGCCCCCGTCCGCGAACTCCTGGATGATGAACACGTTGGTGCCCTCCTGGTGGTGGGTGCGGTGGGTGGGGTGGGGGTGGGGGTTACGGCAGGCTAGGAAGAATATGGCCGGGGAGCAGGCGGAGCAAACGGTTAAGCCGCGACCGCGCAACCCCCATATACGGTATGAGCCGCTGCCTGTCCTGGCGCGCCATGTCAAGCCCACCCACCGCATGCAAATCCCCCCCCCCCAGCCCAGCCCCCCCCCCCTCACCATGAACGCCGCGTAGAAGCCTATGATGTGGTTGTGGTGCAGCGCGGAGTGCAGCTTGATCTCCCGGAACAGGTGCAGCCGCTGCAGCTCCGGCAGCCCGCCCAGCTGGTACACCTTGACCGCCACCACCAGCTCGCTGGCCTGACACTGGGCCTGAGGGGGGGGAGGGAGAGGGGGGGAGGGAGAGGGGGGGGAGGGAGAGGGGGGGAATAAACGAGAAGTGCAGCAACCGGAGTCCCGGGGAAGAAAGACGAGGGAAGGAGAGGGAGGGAGAGTCGAAGAGGAACCAACCCGTTTGAGTGAAAATCACACGTGAAAGCAAGGCAATAGAGAGGGAGATTGTGGGAGCGGGGTAGGGTAGGGTAGTGGGAGAGGGGTTGAGGGTGGGGCGATGAGGAGGAACTAGCGGTGTGACAAAAGGCTCCGACAGGGGTGCAGGCGGGGAGAGCGCAGGAGCAGGAGGGTGGTGGGCGAGAGGTTGAGAACAGGGTGGGGTTTGGTCTGTTGCAACGAGGGGAAGGGGATGGAGAGGGGTGAGGGGATATAAGGGGCGAGGGGGTGGTAGTGAGGGCGTGCAATCCACATTAACAGGTAAACTGACGCCGATCACGAGCCTAACATCACGCCTTGCCGTACAGCGTGGCTACAGTTGCCCTGGCTTTGGAGCACCCAACAATACCAGCCCTGCCCGAAGCGCTCTCACCTTGTAGACGGTGGAGGAGTGTCCCTTGTGAATCTCGTCTATTACAACGTAGTCTTCGGAAGTCCATTTGGGTCGCCGCATGGCTGGTGGCAGCGCGGGGGACACACACAAAAGCACGTCGCTGCTCTCCTCGCCTGAGGCGCTCGAGTCAGGGGCCGAAGCGGTAGCCGCAGCGCCGCTGCGGGAGGAACGCGCCTGCGCAGCCACGCTCCCAACTGCCGACGCAAGCGAGTCGGGGTTTGGTGTGATTGCATCATAGTAATTGTTTGTGCCAACGTCCTGGATGAAGGAGTAATGTTCAATTCCCAAGCAGGCTTTCACGGACGCCGTCCGCCTAGTTGGAAGCACAGAGCCTATAGAAGCAGTAGGCAAGGGAGGTTCTGAAGGAGCCTGCGGAAGCTCCTCCTCTTTTTGTTCAGCTGCTTTATCTCTTTGCCCTTTGAAGCAGCACCCAAAGAGGCACATTTTGCTCGCTGCTTTCGCATCTATATCGGCGCACCGTAGGTCGCGAACAGCTCAAACAGCATAACCCAATAAACTTTATTCTTAAGACTCTTTCATGAGTTCTAGTATGGAACAGATAGGGCGTGGGTTTGCGCTCACTTGTCCTCCAGTTACAAGAGCGATTTCGCACAGCCAATATTATGCAAAGTTCGTGTAGCGTTAGTCCAGTAATAAGCATTATGACGGGGCTACGTAGTTGATTGCTTTTTCTCGGCGCTTGTAGTGCCGTATTTTCACGCCAAAGGCTTGCCTGCCCCTCCTTGCAGGCGTAAAAGATAAACACGAGAAACGGTACATACCTTTCAACAACCATACTGTGTAAACACGCTGTCACCGCCTGCAGTTCACCACCGCGTAGGGAGCTTGCAAAATGCTACAAAAGCAGCTTTCGCGTTCAGAGCATGACGTGATATAGCAATTACTTGCAAACGTGAACGATCAACGTATAATGTGTTTTGATAGCTGCCAGCTAACTTTACGCGCCGGTGGTCACCTGCAGCACAGCAACAGCTGTACCAGCTGCAAACTCAGCCAAGCGAAGGGAAGAGCTAGCTACGGTCTGTCCTTATAGTAGCCCAACACTCTTCATTACACCTACTACCAGGCAAGACGACTGTCAGTTCTCTGCTTTGCTGAATTTGCTTGTCCATTTGCTTGCTTCCTTAGCATCAGTGCCATGCAATGCCAGATAACATAGCATGCTAGCATGGCATTACTCACTGCGTGGAAAGCGTAGTCTAAGTCCAGCGCTTTCGGCAAGCAGCAATCCTTGCCACAAGTGGCAAGAGCTTTCGTCACCGGCTTTCACTGCGCCCATCATTCCTGGATGTGGATTGCCCTGGAGTTGCGATGATCCAAGGGCGAGCATCTCCACCTATGATACCTACATTCCCTGGTCCAAACCCTAACCATGCCCCACCTTAATTCACTCCATAAGCTACAGTTCCCCATCCTCCTCCTTTACGTAACCTAGTTTGTTTCCACCTTCCGACTGCATGTTCCCCATCCCACAGATCCCATGTCGCAGCAAAATACCCCTGGGCCCCCATCCGGTGGGGCTTCAGGATTCAGCCGCATTCCCACATTGTCTGCTGGCCGCAGCGGCGCCAGCAGTCGCCTGCCCTCGCCGCCGGTCTCGCCCGGCATTAGCTCCCCCTCCACTCCCCAGGACTCTGTAAACCTTGGGAACGGCAGCAGCACGTGGACGGCAGGCATGCTGGCACACGCCCGCGAGCGTCTAGCGCAGTCGGGCAGCGCCGGCGCCGGTGCTTCAACCTACTCCTCCCAGTCCATAGCCCCATCCAACCTCGGCGCCACAGCTACAAACACTGCCACAGCCGCTGCTGCCGCAACCGGTGCGGCTGCGTCCGCCTTCGCCACCCCGCCCTCTGCCGTCATACCCACCAACCGCAACTATGCCCGCTCCGGGAGCCTGTCCTTGCCTCGCGGCTTTGACTCGGTGCGCACCTCCGCTTCCGGGCTGGGACCAGGCGGCGGAGCCGCTCCCGGCTCAGGATCAGGCCTGGGCCGCCCTCCTACTAACCCGTTGAGCACCTCCGTCGCCAGCCCAAGCCTCAGCCCTCAGGCAACTGGTTGCGGCCTCAGCGCTAGCCCCAGCCTTGGGGGCGGTGTGTCTGCCGGTGGTGTTCAGTCGGGAGGAGGCGGGGTGCCGTTGGCCGCATCGGGTGGAGGAGCAGGAGGGCCGGGATGGGGGCAGAGCGGAGGCGGCAGCGGCATGCCGCAGGACGCGGGGCTGCCCTCGCCGCAGGCGGGGATGTCGGTGGCGTCCTCCATGGTTTTCGCGGCGGGGTTCGGTGGGCTGGGGGTGGCAGCGGCGGGCGGCAGCGTTGGTGGCGGGTTTGCTGATGGCAGCAGCGGCGGTGCCGGAGGAGGAGGGGGAGCAGGAGCAAGTAGCGGAGGCGCTACTCGCAGCAGCATCCAAGTGGCAGTCCGTCTGAGGCCGCTGTGGTGGGTCACACTGAAAGGGGGTTAAGAGGGGAAGGGATAGAAGGGCGCGGGTGCTCCGGGGATGTGTGGCAGCAGGAGGGCCCGACAGAGGTAGCCGGTGGCCGGTGGGGCTTGGGACAGGCATGGAGGTCCGAGGTCAGATGGCATCCTGTTTCTATCCACCTTTCCCTCAACCTCACATGTCGTCCAATCTTTCCCTCCCACCCTCCAGCGAGAAGGAGCGGCTGCGTGGCGACCGGGCAGGCTGGGCATCCGAGCGGGACGGCACCGTGGGGCTGGTGGACCCCAACACGGGGGCCTTCACGCCAAAACACAGGTACGTGCTTGGGTGGAGGGGAAAGGGCAGTGAGGGGTCTGGGGGCGTGAGGACGGGTGGAGGCTGAAGAGGAGTAGGTACGCTGTGGGGTTGTTGCTTAGCAGGCTTGTCCTGCGGACCGGCTGGAGTGATGCGGACAGGCTGGGGTGATGTGGAAGGAATACATTGGGAGGGGCTATAGACGCAGGTGGCGCCGCGGGTGTGAACGATGCCTTTTTTGGGCAGCACTTACTACCCGGCATACAAGTGACGCTGGGTCTTAATCCGCAAAGGCCGCCGCATGTCCCCACCAAGGATGTCACGTCGTACCACTCATCTATACCTTTCCATGCCGCCATGCCCCTCCCCCCCTCGTCTCCTCGCACCCGCGCTAGGTTCGACACGGTGTTCGGCCCCGAGGCGGGCAACTCCGATGTGGCTGGCGCGCTGGCGCTGCCGCTGGTGGGCCCCGCGCTGTCGGGCGTGAACGGCACCATCTTCGCGTACGGAGTCACCAGCAGCGGCAAGACGCACACCATGATGGGGACGGAGGGGGTAAGAAGAGGAGCGATGTCAGCAGGGGGGGGTGGCGCGCCGGCCTGGGTACATGGATGCGGACTCCCGGGCTGGTAAAGGATGGGGGCGTAACGCGTAACCTCACATTTCATGAGTGCTTTTGCGGAGGTAACTTGGGAAGAAGGTCCTGCATTGCCTCCTTGACATTGTTTTTTTCAATGTTAGATTCGGTTGCAAACGATGCCTCTGTACGGCACAGGATCCGGGCATCGTACCGCGCGTGGTCCGCGAGCTGTTTTCGCAAATTGCAGCTGCGGCGGCGGCAGGGCAAGCCGGCTCCAGCTTCATCCACGGCTGCTCACCGTGTCCCTCGCCTGCCGGCCCCGGCGGCCCCCGCTCCTTCAGCGTGCGCATGTCCATCATGGAAATATACAATGAGGTAGGGCCGGCTGTGCATGTCGAGGAATGCACCCCATCCCGCAGACATCGGAGGGAGGCCTAGGCGCAAGGCTGGCGAGCCTAGAGGCCTGACCCTGCTTCGAACCCTGTCTACGTGGAAGGAAGCTTCAGGCAGGACTTGTTTCGTTCGACTTCAACTTGCGTTCTTACACGCCCCGTACTTCTTGCCTTCCCGCAGATTTTAAATGACCTTCTAGATCCCAGCCGAGCAAACTTGAAGGTACGAGGCAAGCAAGAGGGTTTCAGGCAGGGAGGCAAGCCCGTTAACGCTGCAACGCATTATACTCTGTCTGCAGTTTGCTGACGCCAACTCTCCGAAGCATGTCTTTGTACTCCTTGTATGTCCGCCTCAAGCCGTCACCGTGCATGCCTATCTGCACATTCTCTCCGTCCCCCCATCTCATGACCCCGGACTCCCGGTGGTACACTACACTGCGTAACACGCATGCCCTGCTCGCCCTGCAGGTCCGCGAGGACGCTCGCAGCGGTCTGGTGGTGGTGGAGGGGCTCACGGAGCAGCCGGTGGCGAGCGCTGAGCAGGTGGGGGTGTGCTTGAAGAGTGAAGACGAGAGAGCGGCACGTGCGCTCAAAACGAACAGCGCCAGGGGAGGGGAATTAGGATCATCCCTTACGCTGTTCTCAACCTACTTCACTCAACTCCAACCCAGGCTCTGGAGCTGATACACCGCGGCGACCACAACCGCAAGGTCAGCGCCACCGCTTTCAACGAGGACTCCAGCCGCTCCCACACCATCACCCGCATCATCGTGGAGTCGACGCCCCTGCAACAGCCCTTTGACGCAGCAGCCGCTGCGGGTGCTGACCCGCCGCGACCCGTGGGTCGCCGCACCACCGCTTGCCTGTGCCTCATTGATCTTGCGGGCAGCGAGTCGGCTAAGGCCGTGGTCAGCAAGGGACAGCGAATGGAGGGGTCGTACATCAACCGCTCGCTGCTCACCCTCGGGACGGTTATTCACAAGTTGGCGGCGGGCGCGGCGGGACATGTGCCCTTCCGAGACTCCAAGCTTACGCGACTGCTGCAGGTAGGGACGGCTGCCTGCCCGTTGGCGCCTTAAGATGGGGGTTGTTCCTGCAATCACGAAAAAGGAACGAAGGCAGCTAAGATCCAGGAAGGGAGCAACAGAGGTCGCGCTTTGTAGTGAGCCTGAGTTGGTGTTGGGTTGGGAGCTGTGAGCTGCTCATTGTGTCGGCATCCAACCTCACTCTCTTCAACCCTCTCCCACGCCCCTACGCCCCCCACCCCAACAGCCCAGTCTGTCCGGCCCAGGCGCCCGCGTGGCGGTGGTGTGCAACGTCACTCCCGCCATGGGCCAGAGTGACGAGACGGCCAACACGCTCAAATTCGCGGCACGTGCCAAGCTGGTGCAGGTACGTGCAGGTTGCTGAGTCTGCTGGCAGTCCCGTGCACGAGAGGCTGTGAACGGTATTCTGCTCCAAGCTGCTGTAGGGCGGTTAGCGTGGCTGGGTGATAAACTTTGACCTACATTGGCCAAAGGGGGTGCCGTTCGAGGACTTGGCATCCATACCCGCACCGGGGCTACCGTGTTCAGGACCCCGCCTCGGCAACCCCACCTCCTCTCTTATTCCCGCTCGCCTCTGTTTTCCCCTCGCCTCCTCCTGCCAGGTGACCGCCCGCACCAACGAGGTGCTGGACGACCGCACCCTGCTGCGGCGCTACCAGAAGGAGGTGGCGGACCTCAAGCGTCAGCTCGCGGAGGCGCGCAGGCTGCTGGCGGCGGCGGGCATCGCGGCAGGCAGTCTGGGGGGCGGCGGGGGCTTGGCGGATGGGTTGGGCGGGGCAGGAGGAGGAAGTATTGGGGGCGGCCTGGGGGCTGGGAAGGAGGGTGAGGGGCTGGGGCTGGAGGCGGCGGGGTCAGCGACGGCGGCGGCGTTGCGAGCGGAGCGGGACGCGCGGCAGGTGGCGGAGATGGAGGCGGTGATGCTGCGCATGAAGCTGGCCAGGATGCAGGTGGGTGCGGGCGTGACATCTGGGAGGGGAGGGGAGGAGGGACGAAAGAGGGGAAGGGGAGCTATGGATAAGGGAGATATGGTAGGGTAATAACGGCTTGGGCAAACACGGGGGCCTTGTCGGGCGTTTGTCCTCATGCCGTCGTCATGACTTACCCACCCAGCGGTCCCTTTGCCTTCTGCTTGCCCAACCTCCGCATGTCTCCCCCTCACGTCATCCCACCCCTACCTTCCCCTTCACCTGTCAAAAGGCCTTCCTGGAGGAGCGCGGACTCAGCATGGACGGCACCTCCACACCGCCTCCCGAGCCCAGCCCCGAACCCAGCTCCGGGCCCCTCCGCAGGCCCAGCCCATCCCAACTACCACCTCCCTCGCACCTCCGGCGCAGCACCTCCCAGATTCCCGACCCCTCCTCCGCCCTCTCGCCAACCGCTGCCAATTCCAACGCCGCCCTCACTAGCCCCACGGTACGAATGCTACGCGGCGCCGGCACCGGCGGCGGCTCCTTCAACAGCCGCCTGAGCGCCAGCGGCATCGGCAGCGGCGGCAGGGCGCCGCTGCGCTACGCCGCCAGCAGCCCGCGGCTGTCGGTGGACGGCTCCGGCACCGGCGGCGGCGGTCTCGCCAACGGTGAATCTCAGGACGGCACGGCAGCTGGCATGGTACTAAGTCCAGCAGGCAGGAGGCCGCGGACATCGTTCACGGGGTCAGATGGAATTTCCGAAGCCGCGGTTGCAGCAGCAGCGGCGGTTGTGGGTGAGGGGCTGAACCCTCCGGCGAGCGAGGCGTGCGAGGTGGAGGCGGTGTCACCCGCGATGCTGAGGGCGCAGGTGGCGGCGGCGCTGGGAGCCGCTGGAGGCGCAGGACGCCGCGGGGGAGCGGGGCGAACGGAGGGCGGCAGTCCCTCGGGCAGCGGCTCTGCGGACGCCAGTGATGTGGATCTGGACGAGGAGATCAACGAAGGTGCGGATGCAGGCAGCAATGATGGGAGGGGGGTGGGTTGCTGACAGCTCCCAGGCATGTCGTTTGTCGCATTGCCGTGCCGTAAACAAATAGCTTCTTCTCAACGGCTCCTGACGGGAGCGCTCTTTCCTGGGCTTGCATGCATGCCTTTCCTCAAGCCATGCCGCCTCATGTTTTCTTCCGGCTTCCGCTGCCCTCCAGGCCTCATGGCTCAAATCCGAGACATGATATCGGAGGCGCAGCTCACCGCGCCGGACACTGCTCCCGCAGCTCGTCCTCAGCTGCCGCCCAGGGCCCGGACCTCCTCTGAAGGCGGCGGCGCCGGGGCCGGCGTCCCAGGCAGCACCGGCGCCATGGGCCCCGGTGCAGCCGGCCGAGCCCGCAGCACCGGCAGCGGCACCGCCGCACGCAACCCCTCCGCCTCGCAAGCCCCGCTGCCCCCATCCGGTCGCTCTACCGCACCCGGCTCTGCCGGCGGCGCCAACGCTGGTTTTGGTGCTACCGCTGGCCGGTCGATGAGTGGCGGCGCCGCCTCGTGTTCCTCCCTGCAGCGACGCTCGCTGACGCTGAGCCCCTCCAGCAGCTACGCGGGCGGGCTGGACCTGGATTTGGATCTGGAGCTGCAGGTTCTGAATGCGGACCGGGAGGTGCTGCACGACCAGCTGGTGGCGGCGGAGGCGGCCAACGACCGGCTTACGGCAGAGGTGCGTACGGCAGAGATGGGAAGCGGGGCGAAGGGTGTGGGAAAAGGATGGGGAGGCGATGAAGCTGCGGGTTGATTTCTTGTCCGTCATGCAAGTCCGTCATGCTGCGCATCCCCTGATACGCCTGTTCCTCGCCCAGGTGACCGACCTGCGGCGGCAGCTCAGCACCTACGAGCAGCTCACGCGGCAGGCGGCGGGCGAGCTGGTAGAGATCCGCCGCCTCAAGGAGGCCTTCCAGGCGCGACTGCAGCGGGAGAACGACACCCTGCGAGCGCAGCTGGCGCAACTGGGGGTGCAGCCCATCGCGCCCGCCACGCATGCCAACGCAGCGGCCGCAGCAGCAGGGGCCGGAGCGGGCGGGCCGTCGGCTGCATCGTCGCCACAGCCGCCGCAGCAGCGGCAGCACCCGCAATTGCAGCACTCGCACTTGTCGAATGGCGGAGAGCGAGGTGGTGGGGGGCTGCAGAGCCCGGGGGCCGGTGCAGGGAGTGGAGAGGGAGCGCTGAGGCGGCCGCAGTCCTTCGGTGGAACCGGGAGCCAGCTGGTGTCGGCTTTTGAGGCCGCGGCGGCAGCTGCTGTCAATGGGCGAATGGCGCCGCCGCAGTCGCCGCTGCGGTACGGCGTTCAGAGCATGGCGCCGTTTGGCTCCCCTGCGTCGGTGGCGCCTCCTCCTGTCAGGCAGGCACCCAGCGGCAGCACCGGGGGACTCTGGCAGGCCGGCGGCACGCCGACTCGTGCCTCATCCAGCTTTGCCGCCGCCGCTGCAGCCGTACGTCAGCCGTCGAGAGCCTTAGGGAGCCCTGCTGCTGCGCCGCCGCCGTTAGCGGTGTCCTTAGTGGCAGCGGCGAGGGATGGGGGCGTATCGGCGGGCTTACCGTGCGATGACAGGTCGTTGTTGTCACCGGTTCGGGCGACGCCTTCCGACACGCCATTGATGTCTTTAGGGGCAGCATCCGGCCGGCCTCAGCAAATGGAGGAGGTCGTGAAAAGCCTTCTGAAGGTGCGTCATCTATGTGGGAGAGGTAACGTTGAAAGCAAGCACTTGCGTACCGGTAGTACTGCTGCCAAATGATAAATGTGTTGTTGGGGTGCAAGGGTCGTGTTCCCTCTATTCAGCACCATTCTGCCATTTTCCCGTTCAGGTACCACAGATGGATGTCATGCCTCCACGTGCCGTGCTGGTCCTGCAGGATGACAGCAGCCCGTAATGGGAGTAGGAGGCGTGGTGGCGTGAGTTGGAGCGGCAGTTGGGCCCACTGCTCGGACGAACTGGCGGCGTCCAGGAACCAGGAAGTGCGCTGCAACCTGGCCAAGCAGAGCAGCAGCGTATCGCTCAGCACCAGCATTACCAATTACCTTTTTCGTAGCGAGATAGCGGTAGCAGGAGCAGAGCAACAGCGGCGACCAGGTGACATTAGCAGCAACCTAGAACGACACGGAAGGCCATCGTAACTCAGCTGAGTTCTGTTTCAGCACACCCGCTGTCGATCAGTTGTGCTGTACAGCTCTTAGGGTCGCATGAATAGAGGTGATGACGCCGTAGCGGCTGGGTAGCGGTAGAGGGCAGTCGTGGTGATGATGCACCAGAATTATTGATTCGACGGAGGTAGCAGTAGCGTTTGCGATCAGGGTGCGTTACAAGTTGCCTCAATTACTTCTAGGGCTGGATTTCCGCCAGGTTTTGCGCTTGCACGTCACATGGTGCAACTCCAACGGGTTAGCGCGCGAACAGGGATTATGCTTCTAGTAATTACCTAACTGTTATTTACCATTGGCGCGCGTTGTAGGGCAGCTGCGGGGAGTCCAAAAGCAAGGCATCTGTCCCTTAATTCGCGATCTAGTCCGAACTCCGAAGTATGATGCGTATGATGCGCATGTTATTATCCTAGCCGTGCCTTGTGAAGCTGTGCTACGACTCCGCGTGTCAGCTCCATGGCAGATAGCAAACCGTGATAGCTGTTAGGGGCTTAGGAGGAAGGCCGGCGCATGTGATCCTGCCCGGGCTTAGCAACACTGAGGAAGGTAGCACTTAACGGGGGGTAGTCCTGAGTACTTTTCAAACCAGTTAAACATTTGCTGTGCACACTTAGGTACTTGCTGAATGGATACAGCAGTCGTGGAGGGGCGTGTCACGTAGGGGAGTTTGGACCTTGCAGAAGGTATAGAATGGAACTATGCAGCTTGCCACGCAATGTCTGTACCGTGGTGTTTATTAGCCATTCATGAGGGGCCCTGGGGTTCCATAAACCCGGTCTACGCGAAGTGCCTGGAACCTGATGATTTAAGTGGAGAGCAGCTTGGCAAGTAGAGCCAGTGACGGCGTATCTGTACAGGAATGAGATGACTTCTGGAGCTGCGCACGGGAGGGCTATAACGAAGGCGTGTGATCACAGCGCTAGAGAGAGTGTAGGTTGGAGCGCAACGGTGAACCCTTGTATGGTGTGGTTGTGTTTTGACATCATCTTTGTTTAGGCGCCCTTTTGCAGAACCGGGTGGATGTGCGTGTTTGGGTGGCGATATTTTGACGTGTGCACAAAGGCCTGCTCCGCGCCTTTTCCAAGGGGCAAGCAATACGGGCGTCCATGCAAAGGCAGGGGTAGCAGCAGTGGCGGGTGCAGAGGCAGGAAGCTCAGTCAGGGTCCCTATCATGCATTCTGGGTTGACTGAATGCCGTTTGCAGGAGCGTTTCCGTCAACTTGACGGAGGTACGGGCTACATGTGTGTCGTACAATGGTAGCGGTCGAGGCGTCAGACGAGGCAATTGGGGCTGGGCTGCAGTGCAGCTGAGGGGTGTGTCGGGTGTTGGTCGCAGGTGGCTTAGCTGCGACCCTAACGAAGGTACGGGATGGGAATTGTTTCTAACAAAAACAGAGTGGCTTTACCCCGGTGGCTTAATGTAAGTAGTGCGGCACGCTGACGGTGTGATTGCCGCCTTCTTAGCGTGCAGGGAATGCTGCTGATTCGAACTTCCCTTGTCTCCATGTGTAGCCGGGTATCTTATGGGTGGTACCGGTATACCGCACAGCATGCATGGGAGCCGTACGGCAGGACAGCGCGCGACAAAGTGAACCTATTTGCTGCATTCACACTGGAGCCGATTTATCCATTGGCTTTCGTTACAGGTCCACGGTCAATTGATATGCTGCACAACAGACATCGCGCAACCGGTACAGGCGGCCAAATACGTGGTCCAAGAAGCATAGTGACCGACGCATGTCGCAACGCGCCTCAGAACAACCCCTGTGCCTCTTGAGACGCGGTCAGCAGGAACGCGCCTCCCTTGCCGGTACGGCAGTAGGGCTGCAAGGCGATGTCCTCCTGCGGCAGTGGAGTTGCGATATGTGGGCTATTGGTGACGAGACAAGAAAGAAAGACATCATGTGCACGGAAGCAGCTCGCTGGGAGGGCGAACCATTGCGGCTGTCAGGAAAGATACCAGGCATCAGGGTGCAACCATGCGTGTGCAATAACAAAGCCTGACAAGTATACCGGTACAGACCACATCCCTGCCTCTGCCGCGTTCTGTGCCTCTTCCAACCCAACCGCACACACCTGCAGCTGCCTGCAGGCCTGCAGGCTTTGGCGGTGCGCCGCCAGGTGCCGCTCACCCCCCAGGCTCAGCACCTGGCCGCTGCCAGGCGCTGCCGCCGCCAGCGCAGCCGCCATCTGCGCCGACGACCAATACGAGTCGTCCAGCAGCAGCTCCGACAGCGCAAAGCTGCGCAGCCGCGATGAGCCCGCCGCCACAGCCGACAGCCGCGGCTGGCCCAAAGCAGCGACCCGTGGGTCGGCAGCAATGGAGGGGCGCAGCTCAACTGGCAGTCCGGCGGCCTCAGTCGCGAGCCGCTTGTACGCCTGTTACAGGATAAGTATTGGGATAAAAGACTTAGGTCTACCTACGGTATAACTGCAAGGAATTGGGGATAAGAGTTCATAATGTTCAAGAGCCAGTCAAGGTCAAGGTGGGAAGGCAACACGGTGTAACAGTAACACACCGGCGGCAAAGAGGCAGGGTTTAAAGCGGCACAAAGGGACGCACCCAACTCAACCGATCCCGTTTTCCCTCCCTCCTCGCACCTTTTCGAGCTCCTTATAGGCCTCCTGCCCCACCACCTGCGGACTTGCCATCAGGGCCTCCAGCTGCACCCGCTGCCGGTAGAACTCGCGCCGCTTGCGCATTTGCTGCAGAGGGCAGGGTACACGTCAGAAAGGAACGTTGCCCTGGTTACCCAAGTAGGGGAGATGATGGGCCTGCCGTAAAGCGCATGCCTATCGAAGAGCGTCAGGGTACCTAACAGCCGGCCCTTTCCTGCCAAATGCTTCCAGCCGAACCACATGCACTACCCGTCGAGCCCACTCACCAGCACGGGGTCCACAGCCTTCGCTGCTGCCTGCTGCTGGCCCATCGCGTTGTTGAAGCCGGACCCCGCCCCTGCCCCGCTGCTCCCCGCCTCCTGATGCAACAGCATCTGCTGCTCCAGCTCCGCCCCGCCCATCATCCCAACGCCCGGCCCTCGCCGCCCCAGGCCGCCCCCCTCCATGATGGGCGGCATCATGCTGGGACCAGGTCCACCGGCAGGAGCGCCACCGGCCAACACGCCCCCGCCGACCCCTCCCGCGCCACCGGTGTCCATAATGGGTGGCATGAGTAACGCCGCACCGCCAGCACCGCCCCCGCCACGGCTGCTGTCGCCACCGCCACCGGCCCCGCCAGCACCGGCGCCCCTCATGTTCATGTTGCGCTGCGCTGGGGGCGGCGAGGAGCGCCCGCCGCCATCCAGGTAGGTGTTGGAGGAGTCGGCGGCGGCGGCGGCGAAGGGCGGCGGCATGGGCATGGAGCCGCTCGGGCCGCCGTACTCCTGCTCCTGCAGGCGCTCCTCGGGGAAGCGACCTGCACGACCTCCTGTGCCATGTGGTGGGCGGTTGGCGGGACGAGCAACGAAACGTCTTAGCAGCAACACTGGCCAACCGCCTTTGGATGAGCGAGGTCTTGGCGGACGTTTGGGTACCGTGTCACCTTTGAAACGTGCAGTACATGATGAGGGATTGGCGCATGTAGAGGCTATAAAGGAGAAGCAGCAAGCCCCCAAGGCCTCTGTTTCACCTGCCGGCGCCGCACCCCCTTACCTCTAGCGTCACCAAAGCCCCCCCTGGGCGGAGGCATGTGCCCGAACCCTGGCCGCAAGCCCCCGCCGAATTCCCGGCCAGCTCCGCCTCCGAAACCGCCGCCACCATACTCCTCCCAGTCCCGGCGGTCGCGCGGCTCCCGGTCCGGTGACATCCCGCCGTACTGCCCCCCACCCCCTCCGCCGTCACGTCGAGGTGGCGGCGGCGGCTGCTGGCTGCTGTCGTGCATGCGTCCCTCCGCAGGCGGCGGCATGTCGGAAGGCGAGGGCCGCAGGATCATGGGCATGGGCATGTCCAAGGGGTTGGGGCCGCCGCTAGGGCCCAGGCGCCGGTCGTCAAGCTGGGTTGCGATGTCTGAGGTAATGAGGTTATGAGTCCACACCAAAAACAAAGTGGTGGGCATGGGGCACACGTGGCGCCATAAGGAAGGGGGAAGGACGAATCTTGTTACACGACATATGAGGTGAAAATCACCAGACGGAACCAACAGGCACGAGAGGCGAACGCGTAATGTTCCTCCGTTCCAGACACAAAGCACCACGGCAATTCAAGCCTCCCACGGCGCGGTGCATGCAAGCGCAAGCATGCCCGCAGACGCCGGGATAGCCCTTCTCTCCCGTACCTGGCATATCCACCACACGGTCCCGTGGGTCACGACTGTCGCGATCCCGGTCCCTCTCCGAGTACTCCCGGTCACTCCGCCTGCGCGGTGTACGGCAGCACGTGGCGGTGCGGAGGAAAGATCAGCGGAATGAATTGGAAGACAGATGGAGATAAAGCATGACACAAATCGTCGCGCAAGTGCATGGTAAAAAACTATACTGGTGTAACAAGCGGCAGCTGTGAAAAGCAGCAGCGACAGGGGTCCAGAGCCAAGCGCCGTGTGCTGTGCTTGTCAGATGGAACTAGGCGTCCCGCCCTGCTTGGCTCACCTGTCCCGATCACGGTCCCGTTCCCTGTCGCGCTCGCGATCTCGAGCCTGTTGAGGTGGCGGGGTTCGACCAGCGCATGGCCCTTGTTGGAGTGTGAGAGCTGAAACAAGTGCAAGCCGCCAGCCGCTAGAGGTCATACTGCTGACAACACCAATGCATGCCTTTGCAATACCGGTAGTAACGCAGGGTACGCAGCGCCGCAGGAGGACACCGGAGGGTCGGAGCTCCGTGTGTCCCAAGCGGTGCGCAACCCACCCCCTGCGGCAGCTTAAACCCCTCGTCGTTTATTAAACCTACGCCAGCTGGCAAGGCCCCGGTGCGACAGCAACCGCTGCCACTCTTATCCTACAGCCACTGCTTTCGTGTGGTCCCGCTTCCAACCACCCAGCCCACCTCCCTCTCCTTGTCCCTGCTTTCCCGCTCGTCTCGGTCCTGGTACGGCATTGGCAGGGAGGGAGCAGCAGGGCTTACAGGATGGCACAGGCGGCCACGTTGTCATAGTCGTAGCGCAACATGAAAACTTCTAGGGCCGTGCGTAGAGCACACCTGTACCGTGCGTCCTCCTCAAGATCGCCTTTCACCCTAGGATTAGGCTGCGCTAGATCCCCGCGCCTACCTAGTCGCATCATGCGGAGTAACCCTCCACGGTCCTTTTCAACTTTCCCCATGTAGCCTAGCAGAATCGCACCTTGCCCTCGCGATCGCGTCGACTGATTCGCTCCTTCTCCCGCTCCTTCTCCTTCTCCCGGCCCCGCTCCTTCTCCTTGTCCGTCTCCCGCCGAGATGACGACCCACCACCCTTCTCCCCCTTTTCCTTCTCTCTCTCCCGGCCGCTGCCGCCTCCTCCGCTTGCTCCCTTCTCCTTGCCGCGCTCCTTGTCCCCCTTATCGCCCCTCTCCTTTTCCCGCTGCTCGCGCAAGTCCCGTGGGTCGCGGTCCCACTCCCTCTCGCGCTCCCTCGCGTCATCCTCCCGATCCTTGTCAGCCCGCTCGGGACGAGCATCTCGCCTGTGGCAAGGGCGGTCATGTGGGCAGGCGGTCATGTGGAGCGCTGGTCGGCCGCCTTACCAGTCATGGGGGCAGTTGCTGGACGTGAAGCGGGAGGGCAGGCGCAAAAGGTGCGGGGCTGGTAACATGCGGGCTATCCGCAAGGTAAGGCGCAGCTTAGGTGTCTAGCCTGCAATGCAGCGGGCACCCATTCGACCCTAAGAATATCCCATGCAAAGCACACCTTGTGACCAGCCACCCTGTGTGTGCAGCGGTGCTCCCTTAAAACCAACAACCGAGCATCGTACCTGTCCTTGTCTTTGAGATCCCTGGTGTCGCCCTGCTTGCTGCTGTCCTTCGCTGCGCCCTTCTCCTTGGTCATTTCCCTCCCTACAGCCTCCCGCACAGGATGCTCCTTACCAGACTGCTCCCTTGACGGCTGGTCCCTATCTGACGGCTCCTGAGCAGCCTCCCTGCTGTCTAGCTTGTCTGGGCGGTCGCCAGACTTCGATGAAGGTGGCTCCCACACGATAGCGGGGCGCTTGCGGGCTGCTACGGTGCAGGGAGGGATGGCAATGAGGGGCAGGGATGGAGGAGGGTATCGGAATGTGGCCCAGTGGGGGCTGCGCCCTATAGGCGGAGCCCAGCCCGAAACCATAGCAGGAGGCATGGGCCATTTGGGGCAGGGCACTTCTATCGGTGCTCCTACTCACGTCTATCCCCGTCCTTGTCAGGCGAGTCGCCGCGACGCTTGCTGCCGACATCCCCGTCCGACCTCCCCTCACGACCCTTGGTGGTATACTCATCCCTGCACAGAAAGCTATTGTTGGCTGTGTATAACGGACAACGCCTCTTCCCCTGCATGCAATGTTTACCGTCCGAGGGCGCGCTCATCTCCATTTCCTTTATCTGAAAGGCGACGACGGAGAAGTTATTACTAAACTAACATGTCGATACAATTATACTAGTACTGAAAAGTACTTCTACATGCACGCACCGTGCGGGGAGGAAAGTCGCTCAAAGACGCTAGGCTTTTTGTCCTTGCCGCTTTCGTCCTTCGCGTCGTCCTTGTCTCCCTTACTGCGCTTCTCTCCTTTCCCGCGATGCCGACCCATATCGGCTTCAATGAACGCACAGCGTAGCAAAGGCGAGTGTCCTTGCTAAAGACTTTAACCTGTAAGGAGGCCTTCGTAACACACCGTATCCTTTTAGCATAAATGTTTTACTGTACAAGTCATATGCTCGAGATTGCATGTGATCAGACATCAGAGTGCATTTGGTTAGGCCATAGTACTACAGGAAAACACGCTAGTAGTTTACCACTCCTAGCCAGACTCCTACGTTGCATATACTTTTCGTGTCTAAAAACGTGATTTAACAACATGCGACTGGAGACCTCGCCCTGAGCGGCCACAATCGAGTGATATGCCTGACAGCTTCTTCCCAGGCCGCGAAACCGCTAGTGCTGCCGAGCTGACCTGAAGCGGTTCGGCTCGGAAGCGGTATAGCGGTCCTTTTGCGTGCGCACAGCGGCTGCACTTCCGGGGCAGGCGAAAATGGCGGACTTTGGGTGCTACGACGAGCTTCCTAGCGTTCCAAGCAACATGGGCGACCAGGAAAGAAGGTATGTGCTCCTAGAGAAGTTGGCCCTCGGTTGTCTTGTGCAGTTCAGCAAGACCGTGTTTGGCAATTACCATGGCTAGCTCATCAGAGTTGCTGTCCTTTCCGCAGACGGCCGCGCCGCGCAGCAGCTGCAGCGGCGGCCGATGTGCTTATTGCCACTGCTCTCGAAGAGGAGGACGAACTATACCAGGAGACACCCCCCCGCGTACCTAAACGGCGTGGCGGGAAACAAATTGCAGCTGGACCTGGCGGTGGCCGTGGCGAGCATGCCTATAATTATGCCGACAACGGGGCAGCAGGTGCAGGGGTGGGAGCTGCACGCAAGCGCAGGGTGGAGCAGGTGGACAACGGGGAGGAAGGTCCTAACCCCATAGCCATCCTCCCCCCAGCGCCAACAGCAGCTCCAGCAACCGGGGCGCTGCCCCTTCAAGGCGTGCTTCAACCTGCAGGTATGACAGCTTACGCTTACGCGTACTATAATGCGAGCGCGCTTGCTGCAGCAGCAGGATACCAAGGGGCAGCTTTAGGGAATGGAATGCAGTACGGATTCCAAGGCTTGCAAGCCGTGCAAGCCATGCAAAGCTTGCAGTACGCACAAGGGCTGCAAGGGTTACACGGGGGAGGCAACGGGATTGTTTCTGCAGCGCTGCCTGCGCAAGATGGCAGCGTGGCAGCGACCGGGCTGGTGCCGCCCGTCCCATCAGCCGCTGCAGCGGCTGTTGCTGCGCCGCCTCGCAAGAGGGGGCGGGCAGCTGCAGGTGGTGGTGGGGCTACTGCGAACGTGCCCCTGGTGCCCGGCAACGGCAGCAAGTTCTTCCCCAAGGAGTCTCAGGTAAGGCCGGGCAGGCTAACCGATGGTTCCTTGGCGTGTAACGTTGCTTTGGAGTTAGGATGAGGCATGGGTACCGGTAGTGGGTATCCGTTCCCTGTACCCATTCTAGCTGTCAAACACTACCGGTAACAACTATGACTCTTTTTCAGGAGGAGGTCTGCCGCTTTCTGCTGCTGCTGGTGGCATCAGAGGCCAGACAGCGGGGTGAGGTTTCGGACGTCCCGGAGATTACGCAGGTAGGGTAAAGTTTTGGCGTGGACCCTGCACACTGCGATTGGTGCATTAGACATAGGCGTTAAGAAAGCAAGCGTAGGGTTGTGCGGTTGTGTGGGCTGTGGATGTGTATTCTCGTGAACGTTAATAGGTGCAATTTCTTCAATTTACAGGCCACTGTCCCTATCCAGGTTGCTCGGGAACGAGTTCGGCAACTGCAGCCACAGCTACGAGAGCTGGTGCCACCGGGCGTGGGACTGGACTGGGGCGGTAGGTTCGGGGTGATAGCTGTGGAAGGGTTGCGTGGGTATGGGCGGTCATGGATTGAGGTAATGCTGAGGCCGTTGGTCCTGAAACCCATAATGTACACCCTGCAGGACCTATCAAGCGCCTAGAGCTGGCCTGCTATCGGGCTGTCGAGGACCTGTGTGGAGACCTGCAGGTGGGTTGGGGGGGTTCGGAGGTGGTGGGATGCTTCAATCCTGATGCATTCTTTACTTGGAGGAACCCAGTGTACCGGTGGGCCCCATACAGCCCCAACGACTCCCAACCCCTTGCCTGTGCAGGACCCCCTTGACGCGGCCATTGCAGCGCAGCTGTTGGCAATAGGCAAGGGGACGTCCAGCAACGGCAACGGGCAGACGAGCAGAGCGGGCAGCAGCGGGGGGGCTAGCGATGGCGGGTCGTCAGGGACAGGAGAATCCTCTGGGCTCCTGGGCAACACCGCGTCCGCCTCCCTAGCTGCCTCGCGGCGAAACCGGCAGCTCAACGCCATGAAGCAGACCTTCCTCGCAGGTATGGACAGTCCCAACCTGCTGCTGCGTCTACCTCATCCGCAGCCTTACATCCACGCGCCACACGTGCCTAAGCCACCTTACGTTTCCCAGGCTTGTCCATTTCTGTCCACACAAGCACCCGCCATTGGGTGCCTCGTTTCGCAACGCACACTCTTGCTCCCGTGCAGAACTGCAAGAGGCAATTGACGAGTTGGTGCGGTGCCGAGTCGACGCCATGAAGCAGGTGTGGGGGAAGTGCGACTCATCTGCGTCGTGCTGGCTTGTGACGGCACTATCCTCAGGTTTCCACAGCCCTCCCATGCGTGCTTCCGCCCTCCCATGAATAAGCACCCATTGTTTCCCATCTAATGACATACCTACTTTCATTTCTGCATCTGTCAGGCCGCGGCTAAGGAGTACAACGAGCACATGGCAGGCATCCTTGCCGGCCTCCCGCCCGAGCTCTGCGGCATTCCCGAGAACGTGCCCGGGGCGCCGCTGCCGGCGGCAGTGCTGCATAACCGGGAGCCTTACTTCTCGGTCCCCGAGTGGCGGAAGCAGCCGTTCCAACCGAGGTGAGGTGGTGTTGAGAAGTTGGGCGTCAGCGTCGTGAGTCAGCAGGCTGGGGCTAGGTACATTACCTGGTAACCCGAGTATGCTTGTTTCATGCGTGCCTTGAGCGGTATGCCTTACCTAGGCCGTCCGTCTTACAAGAGCGAGGTCTTTGAGGAGCGTCCTAACAGCCATTCTGCCCCCCATGTGCTCTTCGTACCGTACAGGTCGTACGAGACGTTGACATCGTACGCAATCCGCAGCGCAATCCCCTCGGAGTGCGCTGTGCTGCGCGCCAAGCTGAAGACACGGCGTCCTGACGGCGCCGCGGAACACTTTACGCTGGAGCACGGCAAGGAGCTGGGAATGGAGGAGTGGTGAGGTCGGGACAGGGAAGCAGTTACGGTCTTGCGGAAGGGACAGACAAGCGCCTGTGTACGATGCTGTTGTCGTATTCGGATGAGACGTCATAGCGGCAAGACTCTAGTTGAACTGTACGCAACATGCTCTCTTTCCATGTTACTTCGCGGGCCTGTAGCGCCTGCATCGGTTGCTGACGCTCAACACTGCCCCATCCCTCTGCAGCAAGCAGAAGGAGGCGCAGCTTGCTGCGGCGGTGCGAGGCCGCCGAGCGCTAGTCCTGGGGGAGCACGTGAAGGAGGTGGACTGCTGGGGTATGGACTGCTACACCCGGCGGAACATCTTTGATGGTGGGAGACCGGTTGGGGTGGTATAGGGGTAGGCTCTAGGTGGGTCCATGGCTTTATAACACCTAACGACCGTTGCAAGGGCTTATTAATTGTAAGAATTGAACGCGTGCACCGCCTTAGCGATGCTAGGCGTGCACCGTAGTGAGCTCCATACCTACCCACAGTCTGGTGCGCTATAAACAATTACGCCCGTCCATTTTCTAACCTTTTCCAGCTGTGCGGGAGAGCGGCGCCTTCAAGCACTGTCGTACTGGCGAAGCCGCCAGCAAAAGCCAGGGCGCCGGCACAACCGGCACCGGTAACTGTAGCACGGACCCAGATGACCCGGAGACCGCTGACACAGCTGCAGGGAGGATGGCGGGACCCACGGGTCTGTCTGGAGGCTCTGCTGCGGACCCCCTGCGCGTGAAGGCAGAGAGGCAGGGCTCTGGGAGAGAGCCGTCTCCACCTGGTGCGGGCCCGGCTGTTCGTATAAAGGAGGAGATGGGGATAAAGCTGGAACCCGAGGTGAAGCAGGAAGCGCAGCCTGTGCATGGGCAAGGTGGCGACATGACGCGAGATGACGCGGCGATAGCGGCGGCGCTCGCAGCGGCGGAGGCGGAGGCTGGCGGCCGGACAGGGTCACGGCAGGGCCGAGGGCCGTCACGGCGCCGAGCGGCAGCAGCGGCGGGCGAGAAGATGCAGTCTGGTACGGACGGTGTTGATGCGGCCGCAGGGCAGCCGCCGCTACCTCCCCCGCCACCACCATGCGACCCTGGCGAGGCGGAAGCCATTAACAACTGGATCGACCGTTGTGTCTTGTGTACGGCAATCGCCAAGGTGCGGTAGGGTTGTCAGATCCACCTTTCTTCTCGAACCCTGCCATTTCTCCTTTCCTTGGCCCACTATCTCGTCTTTACTGAAGTGTCAGGGCACTCCGGAAGGTTTGGCCTTTCCGTCTCCTTCTGAAGCTGACTACGTGGTGCTCGCTGACGACAGCATCACCCCATCCGACGCCGGAACATTCCTTCCCGATGCGTGTGCAGGGGCCGGATGGCTGGAACCTGCTGCGGGTATTGGAGGCGGTGCAGGCGGATGCGCGGACCCGAGGTGACAAACCCTGCGGGAAAGCGGCATCAGCGGTCATCTCGCGGCTTAAGCAGGTGAAACGGCAGTTGTAGTCTGTGTTTAATTAAGTACAGCATACACGGGGGATGGATTTTCGCGGCCGCAATTTCCTAACATATGAAGCCGTGGTACATCATCCGGTTCCTGAACTTTCGACCTAATCGTAAGGTTGGATTAGTTACACCGTCCCCATGCGTTTGGCGCTGGTTGTAGATTGGCTGGGCGTATTTCCGGTTGCACCCCAAGGGCCGCGGTGTGGTATGCTGCGTGCCCGACGGCCTGCCCGCCTTTACGTTTGTGGAGGAGTACCTCGGGGAGCTGCACAGCCCCTGGCGCTGGTTCGAAACACAGGTGTGAGCGGGTGGCGGTAGGAGACGGCACGCACTTCACGGCTTTTCATAACGTTGCGACGTTGCGTTCAGAGGGTGGTAACGTGATGAAGTGAAGTTAATAACCTGCCACTGCTATCCTTTCCGGTACTTTCTCACTTGACGCTTCATGAAGAGGCGCCGGGGAGCCTGCATACTCAATAACACGCTGAACAATTTCCCTTATGGGCATTCTGTTACCCCTAGCCGTTTCTTGTAACCCACGTTTCACCCCTCATCACCCTCCCTGCATCCCTCCCTGCCCTATGTCATCCTTTAATCCCCCACCCAGGACGCCATAAAGAAGCTGACCCAGCAGGAGCTGCCCGACTTCTACAACATCACCTTGGAGCGGCCGCGCGACGACCCGGACGGATACGATGTGATGTTTGTGGAGGCGGCGTTCATGGTGCGTGAGGCATGCAGAGAAAGCAGCAGAAGAAGTTGGGCAGGGGAGTGGACGCACGGTAAAGGATGGCGAAGGCAGGCCCCGTAAGCCTGTGGATGCGGTTCTTTCGAATTTCTTCTTCGTTAGGTGCAGTAACACCGCCTGAGTACCGGGGTCAAAACGACATGCAGGCCCTGTACCAAACATACCCTCCGACCTGTGATCCAGGCTTCACTCCCAATGTCTCTTTTCTCCGCAGGCGTCTTTCGCGAGCCGCATGAGCCACTCGTGCACACCCAACTGCGCGGCTGTGGTGGTCTCTGTTAACGGCCGCCTGACCATCGCCATGTATGCAAAGCGGAAGATTGAGCCAGGTGGGTTCAAGGCCTCCGTGCTATACTGCGACAGGGTCGCAAGGGCAGCCTCCATGACGTTAGCTTGACTCGGTGACGTAACCCATTGTCTGCATGATGCCGCGTGGGGGCGCGAAGGTGGATTGTGCCCTTCTATGACAGCAAGCTAGGATGCCGTGCTATGGGAATGCCGGTGGTTTCGCAATTAATCCCATGGTTGGGGCTAACCGCGTGTCAAAGCGTTGCCCGTGTTGAAGGTTGAAGAGACCGTGTAAGGCAACTAGAGCCCCTCCTCACGCGCGCGCAGGCGAGGAGCTGACGTTCGACTACAGCAGCGTTACGGAGAGCGAGAAGGAGTACAGGGAAGCCATCTGCCTTTGCGGGAGCCGGAACTGCCGGGGCTCGTACCTGTACTACTCCGGCAGTACGGCGTTTACGCAGGTACGGCAGCATTAGTCATGCTGGGCAAAGCGTGTGTTAGCATTCTATACATGCCTCTTTGTGCCCAGACATGCGCCACCTCCAAGCCCCTGCCTCGACCCGTGCACCCCTATATAACTGGATACCCTCGACCCCGCTCCCCCTCAGATCATGGAGCAGCGCCACAACTTCCTGCATCGGCAGGTGATGCTGCTGCGGGCCTCCATGGAGGCCGTAACGGAGGACGACCGGGTCCGCCTGCGCAAGCACAGCCTGGGGCCGACTAGCTTGGGTGACGGAACGCCCGGGAACAACAAGTGAGTAGCGCTCTGGGGAACGGAGGACGTGGCATTCGCCTAAGGCTTCGGTCGGAATGTCGAGGCGCGCAGGAAAAAAGAGAAGACGCATGTAGTTCTCCAATCATGGAAGGTGGATTTCAACACTCGCGGTATAGCCAGCCCCCATTACACGCTTTGCAAGCCGTTTCCCTGCAGTGTAATTTGGCACGCCCCTCCCCCAATCCAACGCTCATTCGCCTGTCAGGGCGCCCGAGTGGCTGGTCAAGTGGGCCGCTCTGGTGCTGGAGTATGTGGAGCTGGAGCGCCGGGAGCTGCCCGGCGTGCTGCTGCAGTTGCCGCCGCAGCTGGGGAAGTACACACCCGAGTCCGCGGAGATTGAGGCGGAGGTGAGATGGGTGGCATGCGAGAGTTGGCGTGTTTGTAGTACCGGTATACGCGCCCTCATCGTCCCAGCATGTGCCTCCTAAATTGTGCCGCTCCAGGCCGCTCAGCCCTTTTTCCACACAATTACAAAGCAACCCGAGTTTCGCCACCTGCTGTCTCCCCTTATATCCGCCAGCTGTTGTCTCTTGCCGCTCCTGCTACAGGCCATTGCGCAGAACCGCGTCCAGCAAATCGTGATTACGCTGGACAAGGTTAAGCACGTACTGCGCCAGCCGGGCCAGTTGCAGGTGTGGATTGGGGAGGGGGTTGGAGTCGAGGGCCTGCGTGGCCTGCTACCCTGACGTAGCCTGCTCGACCTTGCTCGGATGGTGGGTACTGCTGGCGTGAGGGAAAGATCATCCTTGAGCTACGTGGCCGACGTAAGTGCTGACCTGAGCCTGCTCTTGCCGCGAAACCCTGTTGCCCCAGACACCGCCAATGCGGAAGCTCACTGAGCCGGAGGAGTTGGCGCACCTCTGGTCTGGGGCCAACTCCATCGCGAAGCGGGTGCTCAAGGTAGGTGCTTAAAAGAACGAGGCCAAGGTGAAATGGGACTCAAGGGCTCCCTAGGTTGAAGGTAGCGGGTGCCGCATGTACGGGTTTCGCCGACTGAACACCCGGTATCCCATTTACAAAGGAATGGGGCGGGCATGCAGACAAGAGGCAAACACAGGTACCGGTAACTAAGAACGCAAGGTCCCACAGGCAAGCCTTTCCTTCGCATTGTTACTAATAATCGCTTACCTGCCGTGCATCCTTTAGTTGATGTGCCTAAACACCCGGCATCACTGCCTGGCATTTCATACACTGGCTCCCACCCCGACACTCTCTCTTTGTGAACTCAAGAGTGCCGCAGCTCACCTCAGCCCCAGCACGGCCATAACAACCAAGTTGCTCGCCCTCTGGTCCACCGGTGGCGGCGGTGCCGCCGGTGCGGCACCAGCCACGCGTGGCGGCCGGTCTGGGGCAGCTAGCACGCCCAGCGACGATGAGGGCGCAGCCGCGGCGCCGCAGCGCCGCGGGCGTGGTGGCGGCGGCGACAGTGAGGACATGGCAGGTGTCCTGTCAGAGCGGCTGCGGGAGTTTGCAGACGGGCCGGATGGGCAGAAAGCGCCACAGCTGGCGAAAGTTGCCCGGCTGGTTGCCAAGAAGGTAGGCGGACCTGAAAGTGCCTAACCTGTCGTGGATTGCAAGGGGTTTTAGGCTTTGTCCAAATCCTATTTTAGGTGTGGAGACGGATAGATACGGGAGAGCAGAAGTATAGAAGTTTGGCTATAATCGTATGTCACCTTGAACGAGCACTACACTACCCATGCAACTGCCCAGCCCCTGTTCCCACGAAGCGCATCAGCCTTTTTGCTAGCGAAGGGCAAATGCCTATTTACTTCCGCCTTGAGCCACGTTTGGACCCCTTACAGCGTTATAGGGACAGCCTAGCCGGGCGTGCATTCCCCTAGGGGCAGCCTAAGCAGGCATGCCAGCGTTAACCACTCCTCTAATCCCGCGATCCAGGCCTCCACTGCAGCTGACGCGCGGCGTCTGCTTTTAGAGTTGGAGGCGACCTTCCGTGCCATCGACTTGGAGGAGGGGGCGGGCCACCACACGGCTGCAGCTGACATGTTGCACTTGTACGGCAGCACGCTGACTTGGTTCACGGCTGAACGGGGTTACAAGGGTAAGCGAAGCGTGAAGAGGCAATGGCCTACGGCCGAGCTGCGGCGCGGGCCAGGGGTACATAGGGGTATAGGAACGGAGAGTTGAACTTATACCATGCGTGTGAGCCATGATGCATACCGGTAGCCAGCTTCAATGGGAAAAAGCCTCAGGGGTGCTGGATGCTGGTAATGCGCTGGGTGGCACTTGTGAAGGCCGCATTCATGCTTGCCTTGAGTGCAGGCTTCGCCTCCCCGCCTATCGAGCTTCACGAGGAGATGGCCAAGCTGCACCGGGTGAAGCTTGGAGTTGGGCGTGGTGGCAAGTCAGGCGGGGCAGGTGGCGCGTCCGCAGCGCGGAAGGCAAGAGCTGCTGCAACACCTGCATCCCCGTCCGACCTGGATACATCCGAGGAAGAGGAAGACGGCTCTGACGGGGACGGCCGGGCACGAAAAGCGCGCGGTGGACGGGGCGGAAGGGGCGGCCGAGTGGGCCGGGGAGGAAGGGCTGGACGCGGGCATGGCGGAAGGTGTGTTACCCTATGCCCTATTTGACGGACTTATTATCCTAGCTTTCATGATCTTCACGGTATCCCAAGAGTTGCTGCTTTGCAAAGGTGTCCAACAGGGCTCCATCGGCGAGCCATCAGAGCCAAGCTATTTATCCTATTAATGTTTTGGTTACTGTACCCCGGCTGTCCAAACGTGCGGCAACTCCTCGACCGCCCTTCCTCGTTTTGGTACATGCAGGGGACCTGGCAGCAGCAAGGCACCTCCCGTGGCAGCGGCAGCAGCGACACCAAGGCGTGGTGAGGACCTAGTAAAGGAAGGTGATGCTGATGGGATGGATGGCAGCGGCGGGGCTGCGAACTCGTCTTCGCCGTCTTTTATTGTCAAAGTCCACAAACCTCCCAGCAGCAGCTCTATACGTGTGGAGGACCCCGCCGTCTTGTCGAAGCGGTACGGGCCGTGGTTCATGTGGGGGCAGCTGTCTGGTTGGTTCAAGCAAACCGTCTACGACCCCACCGCATCATTGTCAGCCGAGCGACGGGGCACACTGTCCCTGCCGGACATGGAGAGCTGCTACGGGGCGAGGTCGAGGTACACGAACAAGGTAAGAATGTGCATGGGCGTTGTGGGGAGAAGTGAATACTCTGCTGCACCCGATGTCGCGCGTAACTCCTTCCGGCCCTAAATGGTACTGTGGGCAGGAAGGCAAGGGACTACGGCGCTGCTTCCGTTGTGGCCCATTTCCCAGATCGTGCGCATGGCTTGCTGTCAAGCATTGTTCCATGGACCCCGTTAAACAGGACCGGACTGCTGTTCTGCGGCACCTGGAAAGCTCTCCCGACGCGCAGTGGAAGACATCGCTTCAATTCGCTTTCCGCAACGACGCTAAAATCTACGGCAGCCCCATGTTTGACCAGGTGGGCCATTCCACCTCTTTATATACGGGACCAGCTGTAAGGGAAGTCTTGCATCGGTCTGCCGTGAATTGTCCTGCTAATTACTTTCTGCTGCCCTTTTCAAGCATCACGTCCTCGCACCCATTTCTCCTAATTATTTTTACCTATGGTTTCGCTTTTTCTCTCTATACAGGTTTATCTGGAGGCTGTTGGCGCCCCGCACCTCAACCCCATGCCAGAAGTTCTCCGCCACCTCAAAACCGTCAAGACGCCATTGCAGGGCAGGGCGGGGCGTTAATCAATGGGAAGGCCGGGAGTTGCAATGAGGGGCTAGTCATCCGCCAGGTGCTTGCAGTAGGCTTGGTGCTGCGATCTATCGTGATTGTGTAGTCGGAAGGACTGGGGTAGTGCACTCGTCAGTCATCTTGGTCGTGACTGGGCGTTAGCCTTGTTGTGCAGGCGCTTCATGGCGAGGAGTCAGATTACATTTGGGATGCCAAAATGAGCAAAATGCTCTAGTGGGACGATAACCACAGGCTAGCTGCGTAACTTGTACTGCCAAAGTCTGTGGGACCATGCCGGACGCGAAATGCCCATTCCTTCTGCTATGTCCCTGTAATGCGGGGTAATACAGAGGAAAGCACTAACTGACCGCGCGATAAGGCGTCATCCTGGTTTGCAACATGTGAGGAGAGTAGAGCTGATGCAAATGAGTTTGGACACTTGTCAAACAGCCATGAAAAGTGAAAACCATTCATTTAACGGGTCTTCACCCCGTGTGCTTACCAAATTCCGGCTTGGGATACGGTGCTCCATCCTAAAGGCATCAGCGCCACTAATCACGTTTTGGCGGTGTGTGTCATAGCGCATGCAGACCTGAAACCTATCCTCCATGGCTTGTGGCGTCCCAGCACAATGGCCTCCTTTGGACAGCCCTGGAGCCCATTCCCGCAGACTAGCCTGCCCTACAGCTTGTTATCGCTTAGGTCCTTACTGTTGGGCTTGTGCGGCGGTGTAACGTGACGCGTTACGTATGCCATTCTCTATTAATTAATATAATCGGTTAGGGCGGTTACCCCGCTGAGAATCGTACATGCCGTACAGCCCGCTACTGGGCGCTCTGTTCTGTTCTGTGCGTGTGTCCCGTAAAGGCGGACATAAGGAAGTCAGTGGCCCTTTCACACCTTACTTATTGACTCTACACGATCACGTATCGTTGCATTGGTATTACGAGACTAGATTTTTCCGGGGGCCGCGGGCATTGGATGTTCCGTGTTCGCTTCGACGTGCTCTCTGGACGTTTTACCGTAGGCTTACAGCCTGTTTCAGCTGTTCCTATCATGGACCCTGTCGCTGATGCGGCGGTGCCCGCCGCTGGTCCATCGAAGCCAGGATCGTCTAGCAAGGCTATGGCGCCGATTGATTTCTCGGCTCAGCGTCGCAAGCAGCTGAAGACGGATGCTCAACTGCTTGAGTATAACTTGATGCACATCGAGAACTATCTCGCTGCGCACCCGGATGAGACCATTGAGACGCCGTTGCTGCGTGCGATTTTGCTCTCGGTTCTCAACCCGCCTGAGCTTGCTCTTCGGCTTCACAGTGACCTCAAGGCGCTGGACCCGCCTGTCATTCCGTCCCTTGACTGGCTGGCTGAGTGGTTCCGCATGAACGCGTGCTCGACTGCTGAGACGGCCTACTTCACCGCTCTGGACACGTTCCGCAAGTCCAAGCTGGGTGATTTCACGGACGTCTCGCAGCTGGTGCTGCACATCGAGGACCTCAAGCGCGTGCTCGTTGACCTCCCGGCTGAGATGTGGGTCAACTATGCGCTGGCCCTGAGCCCTGTGAACGTCCGCGCGGCGCTGATGTTCAAGTTCAAGGACAACTCTGCGGTGCCGTGGAACAACTGGTCGGAGTTCGTCGCTGCGTTGCGGTCGCGCGCTCACGAGTTCAAGGTCACCGCTGAGCCGCGCCCGTTCAAGCGTGACAACGGTTCGGCCGCTGCTTCGTCCTCTGGCTACGTCAAGAAGTCCAAGCCCAACGGCGAGGGCAACGCCAAGGACAAGGCTTTCGACCCGGCGTCCATCCCCATCTCTGCGCGCCTCAAGTCCGTCCCCGAGGGCGCCGAGCCCAAGGCTTACGGCTTGTGGGTCAAGGGCTTGTCGACGCAGCTCAAGGAGCAGTACAAGAAGCACCGCAAGTGCCTCCTGTGCGGCGAGACTGGGCACATCGTCAAGCGCTGCCCCACGCAGAACGCGAAGTTCCCGCACGAGTTCTTCTGGTACAAGAAGTAGATGACTAGGCCTGATGCTGCGTTGGACACCAGTGGTCTAGGTCATTCTGGCGCTTTGCGCGCATCGCATGATATCGCTTCCGCATCTGTTCGCATTTCTGAGGCAACATGTTTGCATTGTTCTGATAAGTTACCAAGTGAGACTTCTGTGATTGTTGAGCCTGTGGCTAAGACTTCTGTGAAGCCCAAGGCTAAGACTTCTGTTATGCCTTTGGTGGGCGTAAAATGGCTGCAGTCGCTTATCACTGCTCCGTCTTCGGACTTGTTTTCGGTACGCGTGTCTTGTAACGCTAAGACGAACTCAAGTATGCCTCTGCAAGCTTCTGTGTCACCGGATATGGATACCCGTTCCATTCGCACGTCCGAGTTTGAGTACTTACAGCAGCTTGCCGGTCGGCATTTCACTTGGGATGCTTGTGCTTCTGTCGATGGCTCCAACGCCATGTGTCCAAAATTCAGTTCTGTACGTCGCAGCTTTCTGAAAGACAGCTGTGCCGGTCACCATGTCTGGATGCACGCCCCTGCGCATCACATTGAGTCTTTCCTGCAGCATTACCTCCAGTGCAAAGCTTTGGCGCCTACTTCGACCTCTGGTGGGTTTTTGGTTCCTAAGTGGTTGTCTGCACGCTGGCGTCCTTTGCTTGCTGGCATGCGTCTGTTGCATGAGTTTCACGCAGGGTACCATCTGTTTGAGTCTGCTTCCGCTAGGAGGGGGGGAAAACGCGCTCGCGTGAGTGGCGTTAACTATCCTGTGGAATTTTGGTACGATGCACCTGCTTCTGCCCCTGTTTCTGTCCCTACTTCTGACATTGCTGTTTGTGCAACTCTGCCAGCTCCCTTCTCTGTCTCTAAGGGATTTGCACTTGTGGCGTTCCCGGCGCCAGCGGCGCGGGCGGCACCACCCGGAAATTTTTCGCGACTGTGATGGAGCCCACGCCAAGCTAGCTGTGCCCAGGAACGTGTGATAGCAGGAGGAGGTGCGGCACAGCACTCGTATGGGGACGAACGTACTGCGCCCTTGACCGCTAGCCCTGTGGTCTTCTGCTGCCGTACTGCTGAAAAGGGATGGCTTAGTGCTAACTATTGAGATACGCGTGCGGAAGCGTTCTTTGGATAGTTCGCTGCTAGTTAAAGAGATAACGCGTGCGGAAGCGTCTTTACTGCTGAAGAGGGATGGTTTGCTGCTGATTAAAGAGATACGCGTGCGGAAGCGTTCTTTGCTGCTATTGGGTGAAACAGGATACGGATAGCGCTGCTAAGACCAGGGCGCTGCAGGCGCCTGGCTGTTGCTGACGCTTGCCGGTTAGAGAAAGATAGAAACGTAGCCGTTATGTAGCCGTTACTTAGCTGCTGTGGCACCGCTGAAGCTGCCGCTGCTTGGATAGGGTCCCGGGGAGCGACCCTGATGCTGTAAGAGACGGGAGCTGCACAATCACGCTTAGACCGTTACAGGCTCCTCAGAAGACAGGGATTATCGGCCCCTGAAGCCGGAGTCTGTGCAACCACACGACAAGACACACACGACAGTTGGTGTTCTTGCAACGGGACTTAGGGTCTGGTCTGAACGCAGAACCAGCCTACACATACTTATTTTCTAGCTGCAAACAACCGCCTTATATAGCAAGGCCGGCCCAAACCGCCGTACAACCCTGCCGTCACAAGCATGACGACATCTATCCAGCGGCACACGCCAGGCTCACGTCATCCCTGGCCTAATTCCGTCTGAGCCGCTCCGCTTCTGACTCAACCAACGCCAAACGAAAGCCATATCCGTCCCAAATGATTGAAGACAATCAGCGCAAGCCCAGGGCCTATGAAGCAAACTCGTCGAGCCCTGCACAACCCTTAGGTAATCATTACTAATCCTCCCTGCCCGACTGTCAGACATGACTAAACTGCCGCCAACCGTCAAGCGGGCAAACGTACCAACAACCTTCATATTACTCATACGAAGGAACCGACTCGTAGAATTGTATTGTTTATCCATAAACGTATTTATCCTCTCTCGGCCACACTAACCAAACAAGTCGCACAACGACCCATGGTTCAACCGCGCGAACTTGCATCTGCGACATGCGCCTTAACGGGCGCTGCAAAGCCACATTTAAACAACAACATAGCAAGTTTAAACCTAGATATTGGTTTCCACTTGCCGCGGTCAAACACTCCCCTCGGCAAAACGCGCCTCAACGCAGCGGGTTGCCACAGCTGTGGCGTTTCCCCCGCATCCGCGGCACGCCCCCGGGCCGCCCGCTATGGGGAAGGAACAGCGCATGCGCTCCCCATAGCCATCCTGGCGGAACCCCGCATGAACAAAGAACAAAAACGGTAACACTTTTCAGATTTGTACGACAGCAACCGCTACTGACAGGCGTTAAACCAAAAGAACTTCCTTCACCCAGCGCAACATAGGCCATTGGTTGCCCTTCCTTTCAGGAACGCATGCCAAACACTCTTGTACCACAGCGCTTCTCCTTCCTTAACACAACACTCGCAGCTTGTACGGCAAACCAAACCATCCTCGCTTCACACTCGCCCTCCTGGCAAGCGAGGCACATTGTTTTTTTTTCAAACTGGGACCGTTTTAACCTTTTTTTTTTCCTTTCGCGGGCACGGTTCCCTTAAGACGAAGTCCAACCATCCCGCTCACGTCCCGGCTTTCCACCCCAAACAAACACGGCTCTGTCCTAAACTCAGCATATCCCTTCTCTCCAATCATCCGAACCGATATAACACGCTCTTACCCTGCCCGTTAACATCAGGGGCAGGGTCTTTTGGTTTTTTTTTTCCCGCCAGGCAATCCGGCATGGTTTCCGAAAAATCAAAACTCCAACATAAGGCCCGGGGAGACGTACAGACGGCATATCCCGGTTTTAGGGAGACCGTCCCCTAATTGAACAAAAGAAAAAAAAACCATCCTATCCTTTCACGCATGCCATCCTTAACCCGCATCCTCACTCAACGGGCCGCCCCAGCGGCATGCCGAGACGGGGCCCTTTCGTCAACAAACGTGGGTTTGAACGGCTGATTTCTTCAGAAACGGGTACCAGTCATACGGTCTGCCCTCATAACACGTCGCCTGCCGCAACAACAGGGATACCTTCCCACTGGGTTTTCTAACAGAGCATGCAGTCGGACTAGGACGCCGATTTGCCTGCCCCCTTGAGCGCCGCCCCGACCCCGAAACCCAAACCTTCTTCTTCAGCCTTCTCTATCCACTTTGGCCTCACTC